TTTTTTTTTTATTATTTAATTTTTTTTTTTTTTTTTTCTCAATATCTTATTTTGAATATAGTTAAAATTACTTATGACAATAACTAATCTTCTAATAACGAAGAATTGATAAAGTGAAACTAATAATCATTAATTGGTACTGTATAAAGACAATTTTTAAAAAAATATAATTTTTCTCAATTCTTCCACTTGAACCTGTATTTATCTAACTAGGGTTCGAGAGTTCATTCTTCCACTTGAATCTGTATTTATCTAACTAGAGTTCATTCTCCTACTTGAATCTGTATTTGTCTAACTAGAGTTCATTCTACTTGAATCTGTATTTATCTAACTGGAGTTCAAACATGCGACACTTTAAACGATATCAATAATTCAGTAGACGATAAAGGGTATAATATGTATTTATGGTATGGTCAAATATCGGCTATATTGGTGCATAGTGCATCAACGGAGGTAATATCATACTAATTGTCCGAAGCGGAGCGGAGGAATTTTACGTTTGTCTGTCCCGCACGTGACTTATATACACGTGACCATATATAACAATGCATGTAAGCTTAACTTATTAATTTCGATACTATTAGCTTAGAATTAGGAATTTAGTTTAACCTTCATAAGATGTATATAATAAATTTAGTTTGATTTTAAATTATTCCTTTGTGTAATATTAATAATAAACAAATTATATCTTGTGTAATTTATTCCGTTATTAAAAAAAATAATAAATTAAAAAATATAAAATTGATAGTCCGCCTGTATTTATCATCCTGAAACACTTAGAAAACGCAAAATTGTGACAATTTTCAGGGTCCGTGCTATTAATGATGTACTTTTTAAACCATTTTCATTTGTAAGACTTTACGCATTAAAAAATGTAAGAAGCAACACTTATTTAATATCCAAAAATTTTTTTAAAAAAAATGATTTATTAAAATTTTAATCAGCATATTAAAGATAAAAATAAAAAAATAAAAAAATAAAAATTATAATTTTATATCTTTTATATCTTTATATCTTTATATGCAAAAAAACTATAACATTTAAATAAAATATTAAAATTTAATTGTCAAAGTATTACAAAGTCTAAACAAAAAAAGTCGGATTTAATGAGTATCAAAATTTTGAATTTTCGGGTTCTGATCGCCATGTTTAATTATTACCTGTACTTTTGTACTTTAGTAAGGTTAAAACTTACTAAAACTGGATACCATTATGTGTGTGCAAAAGTTGAGTGATAAGTACTATACAGAAGTGAATTAACTATATTAACTATTTGGAACTTTGTAAATTACGTACGTTGCATCATAAAAATTATTATTGCGTAAAATATCTTCATCATTTAGATTAAATATCTCACACATTTACACTATGCTTTTTATATGGAACATGAATTTTGAATGTCTGCATAAGGTATTACCCAATAATCTTATATTTATCTTAAAGAAATTATTTCGTTTATTAAATATAAATAAATAAATAAATAAATATTTGATAGAATAAATAATATAAATACAAAAAAATATAAATTTCTTAAAAAAATGCTTAATATTGTTATCAAAGTTACATAAATACCAAATAATTAAATAAATAACCTAATATCTATCTTGTTTTACATAAATAAAATCTACTATATAGTATCTATCTGCTTATCTACAGTATTTACTAACTAGCTAACATAAAAATATATATTACTGTTAGAATTTAACAGTAAAATGTTGAATAAGAGAAACCCTTAGTATCTTGATTAACTTCAACATGATCTCCTGCCATGTTATTTTGTTTGATATAATTCATATTTTTATCTAAAACAATTTGATTCTGTTTATATAATGATTTAGCATCTCTAGTTAAAGTTTTATAAGAATCCTTGACATAATCAGGTTCTAAATCCCAAAAAATTTTAGCGATTTTAGAAATTTCACCCATACGAGGTAATTTACGATTTTTAATACGATACTCGTTAATTAAAGCCATTCTATAAGCGAAAAAAGCGTTGGGAAGAGATCTTCGAGAGTAAGAATTAACAGCGTTTCTGATTAAATCTTTCATGGTTACAGTTGTAGGAAAAGAAGGTTTTACTTCGGCGAGATCATTTCTGAGATGAAATGAATTGATATTGTTATTGTTTCTATTATTCTTATTATTCTTCATGGATGAAGTAACAATTTTGCGATTTTTTTGTTTCGAAGAAATTTTAGGCATATTTAAAAAAAAAAATAATTTAAAAATTTGTAAATTCAAACGAGAAAATGAAAAACGCTAAGCGAAAAATGTAAAAGAAGATATATATACTTTTTTTTTAAAAAAAAAAAAATATATATATATATATATATATATATAAGAATAAAAGTTTAAAGAAAAAAACTTATGATGAAAGTTGAAAATATCCCGTGGTTTATATAAGAAAATTTTACAATCGCAATTTTATGGAATTTATTTATTGATGATTACTTAATATTGAACTTGTTTGAGAAAATGATTTTCGTTATTGAGGGTATACATTGATTTTTTATAAATAACATTGTGTCTTTAATAGTATTTCAAGCGCGATCGATAAAAAATCGTATTTTAAGCTGTGACTGTTACACATGTTACACAACAATTGTTGGGTTGTAAATGAGGGTTTGAAATATTTATATTTGAAACAAATAATGTCATGCTACATGTTACACTCGCAACCCCAATTTCCGGTATGAGGTTAAAAAAAGAAACAACCAACTTTCCCCTTACAATTTTTACAACAATAAAAATTTTATTATAGATAGGAACTTTGAGAGAATTTCTTTGTTTTACTTATTTGAGATCAGAATACGTTATCTTTAATTACGAACAAATGAAAAATAATATTAATATTTTTGTTATTAAAAAAAAATATATATATATAATATATTATATATATATTATATATATATAACTGATGTTATTAAAAATTAAAAAAACTTTATTAGAATTCCTTTTATATCCTAAACGAAACATTTAACATTTAAATTAAATTTGTTATTTTTATATGTAAATCTTTTAATAATAAATAAATAAATAATTTAAAATATTTGTTAAATAATAAACAAATAAATAAATAATTTTAAAAGTAAAAAAAATACTATAAATTTTTTTTTTTTTTTTGAAGCAAAAAAGATTAAAATTTATCGAATTAATAACTTCTAAAGTAAGGATATTTTTTTTAAAAAAAATTACGTTTAAAAAAAATTATTAACTTTTACTTTTACTTTTACTTTTACTTTTACTTTTTTACTTTTTTACTTTTAAAATTAATTTTATTTAAAAAAAAGAATTTTTTTTTCAAATGATTTCGTTGATATTAAAAGAAGTAATGAAAGATTAACTTAAAACGTTTCAAATTTTTATGAATGGATAATTAATAAACTACTAAAATTTAAGCAATTATTATGTTCTTTGTGGATATAAATGGAATAGAGTGAATAGTAAGTGTGCAATGATAAACTATCGTGCATAAATCTAAAAAATATTTACAAAATAAACTTGTCAATTTTTTTTTAAAAAGTAAAATATTGTTGTGCTCGGTTCGGTTCAATCGGGTTTTCGGGTATTGTCACAATTGGTTTTCTTGTTCAACAATTCTGATACGTTTTATAATAATTTGATGTTATTTGTATCACGTTGTGCCAATCAATGAATGATTGGAAAAACAAAATGTTCTGAAAAAATTGTCAATCATCAAGGATAAAGAAGTCCTTTTTTTAATGGATTCAGGTGTGACTCACCCAAAAACATATAATTTATTATTAACAAATGTAGCATCATGATCAAATCGCTGATGTTTTTCATGTGGTAAAATTTACACAAAATATTTTTTGTTTTCAAGTAAAAAAAAGGGAAATTTTTTTTTTGTTAACGAATGTACAAAAAATTTCGGCCTTGTACTACTACTTGTATTAAGGATCCCGGATAATAAATCCGATATTGAATCAAATCAATACAGTAATATTTTAATATTTTTTTTAATATTCTTTTATAGGAAATTTCGGATCTTAAAGAAAAGTATCTTTTTAGTATCGAGAAATAATGTCGTGAAACAATTTAATAAATTTTTCTTACGTCTTTTTTTCTTATAAAGATATTATAAAGATAATAGATAATAGAAAAAGATAAGAAAGTATTATGTCAAAAAAAAAAAATAATATATAACTTTAAATGTTTTTAATGTAAAAAAAAAAAAAATTTATAATAACAAAACAAATTCTTATTAATTAATTAATAATTGTCCGGTTTTTGAACTCCTTGTACAGTTGTACTACTATTTTTTTTTTTTTTGATGTCCTTTTTTAATTTCAATTACTATATTTCAATAATTCAATGAATTTTATTAATCATACGAAAGTAATGGATCTAATATTTTTGTTTTTTGTGACATTTCTAATATTTCTTCGTAATTTGTTAAATTTTTACAAAGTTCCAATAATTGCTTTTTAATCAATTCCTTATTAATTTTTATAAATTTTTCATAATGATTTCTTAATTGTTTCGCGTTAAATTCCTTTGAATATTTTAAAATTTCACAAATATCATTAATATTAATATAATTTTCTCTTATAATCATTTCTTCTATTTGATTTTTAATTGATTCAATTTTATAAAAATCAATTACTTTTAAAAGGTCAAATAAATATGTTAAATAATCATCCGACTTAATGTCCTTTGTTATATTTTCGATTGATTGTCCATATAATAATTGAAGAAATGTATGAAATGTATTTGCTTGAATATTTATTGGAACATTGATTTCATTTTTTGTTGTTTCACTTGATTCTTCATAAAAAATTTCTTCAAAATGTTTTGAAGCAGCTATGTATGAAATAATTTTTAATATTAGTAAGTAATATCTTTAAAACTTTAAAACTTGCGAAAAAAAAAAAAATATCATTTAATATACCTGAAAGCACATATCTATTAGCACTAATTCTTACTTTTTCTTCACCAACAATAAAAATTACATCATGAAATTTATCATCAGGTTTATTTACAAGTTTATTTATTAAAGAATTAATTATCACATCTTTTTGATCATTTATTATGACTTTTGAAATTGGTTTGGGATCTAAACAATCTAAACAAGGAGCTCCGGTAAGTAATAGCTCTTTATATTCTTTTAAACATTCATTAACTTTGTAAAATCTCTTTTTAATATCTTCTTGTAATCCAAATACAAGTTCTTCTCTTGCTACCCAGCTGTTTTCATCGAACGGATCATCTCCATTTAAAAATATCTTTCTAGAGTGCATTTTCTTTATACTCAACATTCTACGATTTATATCTTTACAAAGTTCATTCAACATTTTATAAATTTCATTAATTACATTTTTTAGTTCCTCCTCATTATTTTTACTCCATTTTTTTTCTTTAGACATCGTCACAACAGTAAATAAATGATCAATAATATTTTCTGTAGTTGGAAATCCAATTTCTGGATGCTTCTCACTAAAACTAGTAGTTGGTTCAACATCATCATCAAATAATGGACATTGAGTCCAGCATATTTTCTTATATTTATGAGAACAAAGATCTTTAAATGATTCAAACCCTAAAGTCTCTTTTTGTCCTTGATAAAATTGATTTTGATTATTTTGATGATTCTTTTCTGATGGAACAAATTTGATTCTTAGAATTTTGTACCATTGTTCAGAGTTGAAGTTTAAGGAATTAATATGTTCATATAAATATCTTACTAAAATTTTTGCTCGATCTCTAACCATATTTTCTTGAAATCTATCATATTTAATCTGTGATTTCTGTGATTCAATTTCTAACGCACATTCGATAAATATGTTATAATTTACTTGACGTTTAAGACCCATTCTTCCTAAAGCTTCTAAACAAGCAGGATCATTTTGTAGTTCTGGCAGTAAAAGTTTGTCTGTGTTGGCAAAGATACTGCGGAAAACAGGATTATTCGCATCGTATAAAGTATCGACCCTTACCAAAGAAGAAACTGACTGATTCGGTATTGTTCGATATAATTTAAGACATTGTTCAATTTCATGATTCCCTAAAGATAAAACACTTCGCAAGAAATTGATATATTCTTCGGAAGGTTCTGGAAGTTGTGTAGTGAGTGCTGGTACTATATAATGTCTAATGTATTCTAATTCATCTACAGAATTGACACCCAATTTAGTAAGAACATTGAAATCTAACTCGTTATTACATTTGTAGAAAAAAGTATTTTGATTAAAGGAAAAAAATGGAAGCTTGTAAGTAAGAAGAATTCCGGATATGGCATCTTTGAACTTATTTTCAGAAGAATGCACTGGCCATATGGGTAAAGATTTTAAAGTATCCATAAAGCTTCGATCTTCTTGTCCATGCTCTATTAAGATAATAAAAAGGTAAATATATAAAATATTAAAATACAAAAATTTTTAATCGTTCTTTAAACTCACTAATCAAGGTATCAATTTCCGCTTTAATAAATGCTCTAAGCTTTTCATAGTCCACATCTTCCAGATCACTCTTATAAAACAATTGTTCCATATCCGAAAATGAAGAAGCACATGCTCTCTTCAAAGTAGAAATTATGTTTATAGGAGTACATTTGTCGACACATTTTTGGAGGTTTTCGTCAGCATTTTCATGAAATGACATATTAGTAATACGTACTTTTAATTTTACTAATATTGGATATAAAACATGTCCATCCTCAGGAATATATAAAAGTGGGTCATCCATGTCAAGGCGAATAAGCATATTGGAAGGGTTAACCATTGGTAAAAGAGGATATCTAGAAAGTTCATTGAAATCTATATTTTCCGTTGATTTGTTCAATATTGACCAGATTTTATCAAGCCAAATCTTATTCGGGATAGATTCTCCATCGGGATCCCACTCAAGTTCTTTTACGGGACGTAATTCATCCATGAAGAGATCCACAACAACCGAGGCATCAAGCTTTTTGATATTTGTACATGAAATAAATTCATCATCATTAAAAATTTTCTGTAGATTCTCCGGTAATTCGATGGAGATAAATTTTGATGACCCACTATTTGGAAACAATTTTAAATGTTTATCTTTCCCGATATAATAAACTTCACCAAATTTACCGACTGATCCATCATTCAATGGAACTAATGGTAATCCGGTTAGATTTTTAAAAGAACTTTTATCATGAAGGATAAATTCAAGTAATTGGAATAATGAATCGCCGGTATTAAAAGAAGGCAACTTAAATCTCCTCATTTGTAATTCATTACAAATTAATTTTCCGTTTATAGGTTCATAAGGAAATCTTGGATTGTTCGTGGATTTAATTTCATCAAGTTGTTCAATTTTATCTTTATCAAGTTTCACAGCTGAAATTCCTGATTTAACCAACATATCTGCAATTATTGCTTTCTCTTTCTCAAAAATTCTAGTATCTTTTAATGAAATAAATTGACCATTATTAACTCCGGTCCAGAAAATTTTGCTTCTAAGGCCTAATTTTCTAATAACGTTTAATCCATAGCTTTTATACGCCGGGATTAAATTTTCCCTAGCAGGAATAGGCCAAAAATTATTCATGGTATGTGATACAAAATCTGTTTTCTTATTTGTCTCTTTGTACCGAGCTTCTTCAAGCTCCACAATATATTCAATTAATTTAACGTGTAAGTCGGATAAAACGTCATGCATAATATAATTATTCCATTTTGCATCATCACAATCGGCTAGTAAAAATCCGCTGTCAGACGGTAGAACGCCACTTCTTGCACTAGATAATGAAAAGTCCCCATTTAGGTGAACCCCCAAATTGGTAGTTATTGATAGAGATAAATATGAATAAATTTTTCCTGTAAGATCGGGAGGATTTGGAAACTGTAATGTAAAAAATTAATAGGGTTAATACTTGATAGACAAATATTACAAAAAAGAAAAAATTTACCGATTCATCTCTCAATTCATACAATGATTTTTTGTCAGATTGAGCAAGTAAAACAGCAACTCCACCTCTTGGCTTAAATGAATGAAATTAAAATTTGATAAAATATTGTTCAAATACATGTAAATAAAATAAAATATTGTATAATTCGTTTACCTTCAGTCGTTTTTTCTCTGAAAATTTTTTAAGTTTTCCTTCAAGTTCCCTTGACTCTGGTTTGACCTTGTTGTGTCCTCCCGTACATACAGCCCATATTTCCGAAACTTTTTTGTTTTGTACATAATTAAATTTTTCAATATTCATTTGATAAATTTGTTCTCTGTCAATAACACTTCGGCGAAATCGACGGTGTTCTTCTGTCATGTTAATTCTTTCTTCCCAGATCAATTGAAGTTCTCTACCTTTCATGCGATATAAGCCACACGATTCTATATTTCTTAAAAATAGCATCTCATTATTATCCTGAATATTACTGAATAGTTCCACAATTTTATGAGTACTGATAACTTTGGTTGATATATCACTATCTTTTGCTAACTTAGGAGTCCTGAGTGGAAGTCTAAATAAGGTTCCATTGAAACCTCCTGAAAAATCACAACTGTATTTATATGAAAATTTATTCTTAATAAAATCAAATATCGCTTCATATGGGTAGCATTGATCTGGAAAATTTTCTTTTAATCTCCCGTCAACAAAATCAGCTCGAATACGTTTTGGTCTTTTAGGAGGATATCCCGTGGGAGGAAGATATTTTGCATGTGGATCCAAAAATACAATATATTTCCCGGTCAAAAAGCTAGGTAAATCTGTGAAATGATACGCACAGTTGAATCCTATCCCAGATTTTCCAATTTTCGTGTCATCATTAAATTTCTCTCCAATACCAAGTTTAATCAAAGAATTGAAATCATTCATTGTAAATTCTGCATCATTATAAATCCATATAGCAGGACCTTGCCAATCCTCCATTTCTTTTGAAATGAATGATTTATTAGGAAAGTTAAATTGCCTTTCGTCCACGATTACCAAAAAACGTGTGGCTTCAGCATCATCTGCATTCTATATAAGAAGTTATTTTCTCACATTAAATTTTTTTTTTTTCTATTAAAAAATTTTATTTTTATAGTGAATTACTCACTTGGAGAAATTCTCTAAATAGATCGTCCGTACGATAGTCCTAAGTATGTTTTTCAGGTACGATATTATATAAAATTGATATATGAATGATTGAATAGAAACAAAGTTACCTTGATAATATTTTTTATTCTGGTAGTCAACGATTCAGATTGTTCATAGTGATCCCAAACCATAATTATTACCGATTTTATTACTGTATGATTTCGCAAATATTTCTTCTCTTACCCAATAACCCAATTTATAAGAAGATGAATAATTAAATATGGAAAATAAAAAAAAATTAATTTTCTCTCAAAGTTTTTCGGATTCAGTTCACTTGTATTTACACTTTTAAAACTTATATATAAAAAATATGGCGGGAGAGAATTTTATTTGATGCATTTATTGAAAATTTGACGAATTTATTTCATGTTCTCGTACTTGGTTACATTACTATTAATAGTTTGAATCTTGATAATCTTTTTTTTTTTTTTTTGAAGGTATATAATTATAAATTTTTATATAATTTAATATTCAACTTAATTATGCATTTTCTTAATATCTAAAATCGAATTTCTCTAAGAATATAAAACTTTATACAATTGATTTTAAAATATTAAAAAAAAATGAATGAATTAATAAATAAATAAATTATTTATCTGATAATAATAATTTTAACATTTCTGATTCTTCTAGTCTTTCTTGTTCGCTAGCAGCATTTGCGCAAAATTCTAATCTTTGTTCTATAACAAGTTCCTTATTTAATTCGATATATTGTTTACAATGATTTTTTAATTGTGTTGCTTTACATTCTTTTGACCATAATAAAATTTCGATTACGTTACATACACTAATAAATGGACCGGTTATAATAATATCTTCTACTTCATCTTTAAGTCTTTCAACACCGTAAATATCAGTTGCTTTTAACATATTAATCAGAAATGATAAATAATAAGTTTCATAACATTCTTGGTCTGTTTTATTAAATTCTTCTGGATTGCGTAGAGTAGATTTTGTCGCTTCTTCAAAAGGTTGTCCATATAACCATCGAAGTAATACTCGGAATACTTCTGGTCGAATATCTTTTATCATAACCTCGATTTTGCTTTCTGTTGATTCACTTAAACCACCGCAAAACATTCTTTCAAAATGCGTTGAAGCGGCTATCATATGTAAAATAAAAGAACCGATTAATAAAAAAAAAACAATAATAAATAAATTAATATATATTAGTATAAAAATGATTCAAATTTAATACCTGAAAGCACATATCTGTTAGCACCAATCCTTGCTTTCTCTTCACCAACAATAAAAATTACATCATGATGATCATTATCGTGCTGGCTTATAAATTTTTTCAGTAAAACTTTAATCAAAGTATCTTTTTGATCATGCTTTCTAACCTTTCGATCTGATTTTAAATCTATTAACTCACGAGCTCCGGCAAGTAATAGTAGATCTTTATATTCTTTTAAACAATCTTTTACTTTATACATCCCCTCTTTAATATCTTCTTGTAAACCAAATATAAGATCCCTTCCTGCTACCCAATTTTCCTTGTCAAATATGTCAAATGGATAATTATCGTTCAAGAATAATTTCTTTTCAGGTTTATTGATTTTCAATCTGATAAATATATCGTTATTTTTTTTTTGTGAAATTTCATTCATTATTTTGTAAATGTCTATAATTGCACCTTTAATAGATTCGTAATCATCCATAGATCTCTTTGAATTCCAAGTAGGTGATTTGATTTGCTCAATGACGAAAAACCAATGTTCAATAATATCTTCCGTTGATGGATTTCCAATTTCAGGATAATTGTCATGAAAAAAAGAAAACTTTGTTGGCTCAACACTTTCATCAAATAACGGACATTGAGTCCAGCATACATTCTTGTGTTTGTGAGAACAAAGCTTTTCAAAAGGCTCAAACCCCGAAGTTTCTTTTGGAGATTGATAAATTTGACCTTTGATATTTTTTTCTGATGGAACAAATCTGATACTTAGAATTTTTTTCCATTGTTCGATATTGAAATCTAAAGTGTCAACATGTTCATATAAATATCTTACTAAATTTTTTGCTCGATCTTTAATTACATGTGTTGGAACTCTTTCTTGTTGAATTTGCGACTCAATTTCTTTTGCACAATCAATAAATGTATTACAGTTTATTTCACGATTAAGACCCATCCTTCCAAGAGCTTCTAAACAAAAGGGTGTGTTTTGTAATTCTGGCGGTAAAAATAACTCTGTTTCTGCAAAAATACTTCGGAATAAAAGTATGTTTGAATCATATAAAGTATTTGCTTTTACAAAAGCAGTAAGTGATTTGTTAGGTACCACTGGATAATGTTTTATGAATAGTTCAATCTCTTGATGATTTTCTAAAGACAAGACATTCTGCAAAAAAGTAATGTAGTCTTTAGAAGGTATTGGGGTCGGAGTCTTCGTAAAAATTGGCCGTATTATGTATTGCAAAATGTATTCTAATTCGCCTATGAGGACAGCACCTAATTTATTTAGTGCGTTGAAATCTGATTCCTTACATTTGTATAAATCAGTATTTTTGGAGAAGGAAAAAAATTTGAGTTTGTACGTTAAAAGTTTCCCAGATGTAGCATCAATAAAATTGTCATCACTCGAATGTACTGGCCATATAGGTAAAGATTTAAGAATACTCATAAATCTATTTTGAACTTGCCCGTATTCTGATAAAACAAATGAGTAAGTAAATAAAATGTAAGACAATTTTTAATTTTTTTATTATTCTAACTCACCTTCTAAAATTTCAAGTTTTTCTTTAATAAATGTTCTAAGCTTTTCATAGTCCGAAGGCGATAAATTACTAGTTTCAAACAACTCTTTCATCGTCAAATTTAATGATGAACGAGTTATCTCTAAGGAATGGATGATATTTATTGAACTACAATCTACAATACAATTTTTAAGCTTCTCATTAGCATTCTCAGGAACTATCATATTAGTGAAGCGTACTTTTAATTTGGTTAATACAGGAAATAAAATATGTCCATTTTCAGGTACATATAAAAGTGGATTTGTCGTATCAGGTTGAACAAGCATATCGGAAGGCTTAATAACTGGTAATAAAGGAAATTTAGAAATTCTTATAAAATCTATATTTTCTGCGTCTTTATTTAATTTTGACCAAATTTCTTTAAGCCAACTATTATTTGGTATTGACTTTCCATTTGGATCCCAATTTAATTCCTTTACGGATTTTAATTCATACTTTAAGAGATCTAAAATAGCATAAGAATCAAACTTTTTGATATTTGTAAACAAGGAAAATTCTTCATCATTAAAGATTTTCTGTAGATTTTCCGGTAAATCAGTGAAGATAAATCTAGATGAACAAGCGTTTGGAAATAAGTCCAAATGTTTTTGTTTTCCAATGTAATAAACTTCGCCAAATTTTCCAACAGATCCATCACTCAACGGAACCAATGGCAATCCAGTAAGAACTTTAAACGAATTCTTATCTTTAAGAATAAAGTCGAGCAACTGAAACAATGAATCATGAATATGCTTGTTTTCACTAATAATGCTTTCATGTATAATATTATCCTTTTGGTTTCTCAATCGTAATTCTTCACATACTAACTTTCCGCTGATTGGGAATTTTTCATATCCGACGATCTCATTTAGCTGTTCAATCTTGTCCTTATCAAGTTTTACGATTGGAACTGGATATTGTAAATTGACTAATATATCCGCAATTATCGTATTTTCTTCATCGATGATCCTAGCTTCTGACAATGAAATAAATTTCCCACTATTAGCTTCCGTCCAGAATATTTTATATTTATCAAGTGTTAATTTTTTAATAACATTTAAACCATAATCCTTATACAGGTCCATAGTCAAATTTTTACCGATTGGCCAAAAATTATTTGTTAAATGAGGAACGAAATTTGATTTGTTTTTCTTATATCTAGCCTCTTCAAGTTTCACAATCTTTTCAAGCAAATTAATGTGTAATTCGGGTAAAACTTCGTACAAAATATATCTATTCCATTTCGCATCAACACAATCGGCTTGCAAAAAATCACTATCAGATTGCAAAATACTGCTTCTTGCGGTGGATAAAGAAAAGTTACAATTCAAATGAACTGTCAAATTACTAATCATTGATAAAGATAAATAAGAAAACATTTCGCCTCTAAGTTCAGGAGGATCTGGATACTGTAAATATATATAATATTTTAATACGTGATAAATAATATTACAAATAAGGAAAAGCCCACTTTACCGATTCAGCTTTTAATTTATCCAATGATTTTTCATCAGATTGGGCGAGCAAGGATGCAACGCCGCCCCTTGACTTAAATAAAATAATAATTAATTATCATAGTTTTAAATTTAAATTTAATACAACAAATTGGGTGATAATGAACATACCTTGAGTCGTTTGTCCTTCGCAAATGTTTTAAGATCTCTAAATTCTGGTTTGATTTTTTCTTGTCCTCCCGTACACAAAAACCATATTTGTGAAACTTTCTTTTTTTTCTCCCTATCAATGTCAAAGTCTAACTCAACGCCTAATTGATATATTTGCATTTTATCAGTTACACTTCTGCGGATATCACGGTGAGCATCCGACAAATTAATTTGTGCTTTCCATATCAGCTGAGGAATTTTCTCTTTTAAGTGGTATAGGCCACATGATTCTATATTCCTTAAAAAGAGCATCTCTTTGTTACCTTCGACACTATTAAATATTCGCAGCATTTCAATAGTTTCGAAAATTTTATTGGTAATTTCACTTTTTCCCGTTAAATTAAGAGTTCTAAGAGGAAGTCTAAATAATGTTCCTTTGAATTCTTCTAAAAAACTACAGCCTAACGCCTCGTAAGGATAACATTGTCCGGGGAAACTTTTCTTAAATTCCTTATCGATAAAATCAATTCGAGTGCCTCTTGGTCTTCTGGGAGGATATCCTTGCGCGGGAAGATATCTTGCATTTGGATCTAAGAATGCAATATATCTCCCACTTACAAGACTAGGCAAATCTGTAACATGAAAAGCACAATTAAATCCTATTCCGAATTTTCCAATTTTAGTGTCATCATAAGATTTCCCTCCAATTCCAAGTTTGATCAAAGCCTGAAAGTCTTTAGCAGAAAATTCTGCATCGTTATATATCCATATCGCAGGACCTTGCCAATCTTTCATTTCTTCTGAAAATAAAGTCTCTTGTGTATTCGTAGTTGCTTCTCTTTCATCTACTATTACGAAAAATCGCGTGGCTTTAGCATCATCTGCATTCTATGTTAGTATAAACATTAATTTTTTTAAAAAAAAATATATAAACACACATTAAAATTATTTCACAAAATTACTTACTTGAAGAAACTCTTTAAATAATGAGTTTATCGAATAATCCTAATTATAAAAATATTATTTTAATAATATGAACGTCCAATATAATACATTAACAATCAAAATGTATAATTTTTAATCATCAGAATTGTTTGGTTTAATATAATATCGAAAAATTAATTACCTTGATAATATTTTTTATTCTAGTAGTCAATGATTCGTTTTGTTCATATATCTTCCAATCTATATCTCCGGCATAATTATTACCTATAATTGATAAATTTTTATTTAAATTATACTTAAAACATTAAACCTTATAATCTTGAATACACTAGTTTATTATTATTACCGTATATTTTTCCCGTTAAAGTTTGGATTTCCAATTCTCTGGCAACATCCAAAGTTACAAGATTATGAGTAATTTTAAGTTTGCTTCTCATTTCTTCTTCAAGTCTATCATCCATATCATCAAAGTGAATTTCATGTAATTCAACAAGCATATTGTCATTACTTGGAATCAATAAACCATCTAATTTTTCCAACTTATCCCCTTCTCTCTTACTTTCTTTTTGAATCTTTACGATTTGTTCAATAATTCGAATAACATTGTTTATTTCATTTGCAGATAAGACTTTATCTTTATTTCCTTTCAACGTATTTTTAATCATTGTGATTAAATCTTTAACTCCAATTTCATCTCGAACTCCCATATGTTTAAATAAAGATTTAAATTTACTATTATATTCTATAGGAAGTTCAACAATCAAAGAATCATTATTTTGAAATTTATTTGGAAGACTAAAGACAACCTTTTCAGTTGGATAAAATTGTCCTTCATATAAAATCCACGGCTTATATTTCAAATATTTCTTCATAGTATCAAATTCTTCTTTAGACTTATTATCACTTGCTTTAAAGGCGTCATTCATATATTTATAAATCTCTGTACAAATTGTTTTCAAATTCTTGGGTGGTTGCTTATTAGAAACACCTTTATAACAAAGTTCCAACTGTTTTAGAACCTTCGCAACTTCAGGATAAGTATCCCATCCTAAATGTTGTAAAAATTTCTCGTTATTAACTTTAATTTCGATTACCGGAGAGACCAGACTAATCAAATTTTTGTCTTTTTGACAATAACAATTTTTAGGCTTCGAAAAGACCAGTTTCTCAGACGCGTCAAAGGATGGGATCCATTCTTTTTCCAGAATTACTTTCAAGAATGCATGATTGTTATTATTTGTCATACGAGTCATCTGGTTTTGAGTATCATTATCATTAAGCACATCCCAATTTTCATCAATATATTTAAAAAGGTTTAATGCTTTGCCCTGAACGTCAGATTGCAGTCTTCGTGTTACAATAGTATTGATTCGAGAAATGACATCATTTGGAGAAAGAACTGGTTTGATTCCCAATGATCTCAAATTTAAAAGGAATTTTTTGGAAAATGAGGGTTGTGGAATACCATATTTGCCAATAGGAAAGACTTGTTCTTCATCGAAAAATAGATTTACCAACGCCTTTTCTTCTGGATCAAATAATTCTGTTGGTTTGACTAACTTTATATTAGCAGGTATGTTTTGTTGCTGTGACATTTTAAACGTACCAACAGGTACAAAAGAAATTCCTCCTAGAACATCTTTCAAATTTAGGTCATCATCAAGTAAGGATGGTAATCGATCAAAAAGTTTGTCAATCACTATATCTATGTCGTTTTGTTGTTGCGATTCAAGGTATGGTATAACATAGTGTCGCCAATATTCATATACAGTTAATCGAGGAATATGGATAATATCTTCTAATATATAACATAAATTCTGTGAACTCGCACTAAGAAATCCTCCCTTCTGTACTGGATAAATAATTTTTCCATATGAATTTTCCTCATTCCTAGGCAAAAGATACCATTCTTTAGACGACAACGAAATTGTAGAAGTATTATTATCAATCTCGGCAAAAATTGGAAGATGTTTTATAGCACCAATAAGCCTCGGCTCGAGATAAAATCTAGTTGCAAGTCGTAAATAAACGGATAAATATTCAATTAGCGCTGATGCTTCATATTTTTGTAACGTGCAATGCAAATTTCCCGGAAATGAGACATCAGTACGGAAAGAATTCAGAACTGATATAATATCGTCAGGATTAATAATATAAGGAGCCATCCTAAAGAAAAAAAGGAATTTGATTATCCAAGACACTACAAGAAAATAATTATCTCCAGTAAATATTCAAAGAATACTTACTTATCCCATTTAGAAATTTCGCCAGCGTCAAATTCATTATCAACGAAAACAGCACCAAATTTTTCGAAAATAGGAATTAAATTTAATATTGAAACATTATTGCTCATTTGATGAGAAAATACTTTTTTTGAGGTATTTAATTTTCTAAGAGTAGACTTTCTCGTCGGTATTAAATGAAGATCTTCAAATTTTCTCAAATCCCAATTTCTATATTTAAGGTTGTCCCATAATTGGTAAATCCACTCACGACGATCTAATATTTGTATTTCTTCATTATCAGAAAAAGAATTTCTTATTTTTTTTCCAATACTACCAAAGATGGACCTTATTCGACTACCCTCGTTGGTATCAAGATTTAATGAAGTTCTAATCATATCGGCAACGACAGACTCATTTAAAATTTTGATATTTAGATTCCATCCTGCCTTTGCATTATTGTATAAACATTTATACAATTCAAATTCAATAGATTTGTCAACAAATTTGTTCAAATAACTTTTGAAGATATTGTGCTCATCAATTTTATCTTTAATGTCATCGTCTGGACAAATATACACGCAAGAATTGCTAGATTGTGTTATAGTATCAAGGGTACCGTCTGCGAGCGGAATCATCTTGAAGCCTACTAATTCGTCAAATTTTTTGTCTCTTAATATATAATTAAATAGCTCCAAAACTTCTTTCCTCGGTATCGTATTTTCCCATCTAGTACGATTACAATCTAAGTAAGTTCGAATAACAGCAGGTGAGAAAGTTTTAAAAGAATCTTTGTGTTTAGAACTTTTTAAGACTCTCATGATGTCAGGAAAAATTGATATTACGGGAAATCCAATATTTCCAATTATTTTAGGTAGGTCATAGTTAAACCACTTCTCATCCTCAAAATAACCATTAGAAAGTGAAAGCCAATAAAATTCTGATCCTTTATAGGATGAATCGTTATACGATTCTGAAACTCCAGATACTGTCCCCATAATATTTGATGAAGAAGGTCCCTTAAATACACGATCATCGACGTTAAGACAATTTGCAACATTTTGTAAAAGATCCTTGCAAAAATTACTTATGACACTCGATGTACTCGAATCTTCCTTAATTATTGGCCAAAATTTATAAAAATCACCCGACTTTATATTGGTAGCTTTAAGAAGCGGAAGCTCACGAAGAAATTTCACCCAAGCCTTAGGTAAGACAATTTCGAACAAATATCGATTCCATGCAACTTTAATACGAGCTAATGCATCAGCCGCCTAAGATCAATAATATGTAAGTTAGAAATTTTGAATTCAAATAGTTTAATATAAGATGTTGGTTAATTACCAGGTCTTCATTGTCTGCTGTTGACCATAAAGAACGCCGATTAGTACTAACCTATTAGAACGTTTAGAAATAAAATATATAACCATATTATTAAAATAAAGAAAACACTTCATCGTTCCTACCGCGAAATATCCATGTACGGAGACGCGAAAAGGCATAGATATCGGAAGAGGTAAAAAGCAAAACAACCTTCCGGTAACATTTAAGTTTTCCAAAGGGATAGCTAGACCAACATTAGGTACAAATTTGTACTCTACTATATTCTTGTTGAACTTATCCTGAAAATATGCTTCCGCTTCATTTAAATCATCAAGATAATTTAATATTAACCATGAGCTAGTATTTTTACAATCTCCTTTCTGTTGTCGAGAAAATGATGCAACATAAGACGCTTGTAATTGATTATTTTTGCCAAGAGTTTTTGATTGTAATTTATTCATCATTGATACAATGTTTTCAACTATCAAACGTCGTTGTTTCCTAACTTTGCCTGCATTTTCCAGTTTGATCATATATAATAATTCAGGTTCAGTAGAACCTTCCTTTAATTCATAAAATGAAATACACTCAACATATTTCAAAAACAATAAACAATTGATGCTTTCATTTTCGTAAAATTTTTGAAAAATGTCCAAAATTTCCTCAGGCTTATAAACTTTTTTAGAAATATCTGAATCGGTAGAATCTTCATCAGTACGGAGAGGATAACGAAAGATAGTACCTTCGTATGGTTTATTACACGGGGTTCTGAAAGGAGCAAATTGGTCCGGATATTCTTTTGCTAATTTATCCTCGACAAAATCGAATTGAACGCCACCGTTAAAATACCATTCATGTGGATCAAGAATAACGTACTTATCACCAGTAATAAAAGAAGGAGAATCAGTTATATGATAAATTGAATTAAATCCTACTCCCATTACTAAATCATGTAAAAAAGAATTAGGATTAAATATACTATATAATTGGAAACGTAAAATAATATTTATAATATAAACTTGGAATTTTACCTCCAATTTTATCAAATTGATCGCGTTTTTCGCTATCAGCCAATTTTAATAAGGATTGAAAATCCCTTTCTTTAAAAATAGTATTATTCTTTGCTAACAACGCAGGACCTTGATATCTATCAAGTTTCAAGTTTGTTCTTTCATAATTATTCACCAAATCTGGTTCAAATAAACTATCCGATGGATATGTATTATAATCCAAAATAAATATTTGCTCTGTACTCTTTGCATCATCAGAATTTTGAAGGATTTCACGAAGAACTTGTGAACCGTCGGGATATTCTTCAAGAATTTTACGTAAACGGTGGGTATAAGGCTCTCGTGGTTTAAATTCTCTTCCCTTTGCTCTTTTAGGAGCACGAGAATTATTTACTGCGTTAGACATTTTCTCGTAAAAAACTATTAAAAGTGAACATGTAACCTTCGAATTCGAAATTAAAAATTTATAAAATAATCATAAAATCAGGGATTGAAAGGAGAAAATGTATTAGATGATTCTATAACTGATATATCCATAAATCGGTCATTATTTTTGTATACGAAAAAGGTAATCTAAAAAGCTTTTTAATTTATATTATTTTTTATATATTGTACTGTGTAAGCTTAAATATCGCACACTATTATTATTAATTTACTATATATAGTTAAATAATTTTCCTGAATTAGAATTGGCATATGTCATTGACTGATCAAACTACCTTAAATTCATTGTTTTATTCTTACCATTTATTTTTACTATGTATTTATTTATTATCAGAACTGTAACAATAAAAATATTGTAAAAAAAAAATTTTTTTACGAAAATTATATATAAAATTGTATTATAAAAAATTACATAATAAAATTTAATCATTAAAAAAGGATCAAAAAATTATCGATATTCTTCAGATTCACTAACTTCAAACGTAAACTATAATTACGCATTTACGCCAAATATCTTCCTTTACTCATCATCTGATAAGAATGGTTCTAGCAATTGAGACATTTGTGATATATCTGATCGGTCAACATCATTTGCCGCATTAGTATGAAGTTTCAATAATTGCTCTTTGATAAGATTTCTATTTGAAGTAATATGTTTTTTATAGTAATTTTTTAATTGTTGTGCATTGCATTCTTCTGAAGATATTAGAATCTTACATAGATTACGCACACCAATATATCGACCTTTGATAATAGTATCTTCTACCTTATCTTTAAGTGATTCAACATCGTAAATGTCAGTTACTTGTAAAAGATCAACCAAAAATGATAAATATTGGTCTGTATTAAAGTCATCTGGCTTGCGTAAAACAGATTTTACCGCATCTTCAAAAGATTGTCCATATAACCATCGAAGTAATATCCAAAATGTATCTGGATGAATACCTTTTATTAAAATCTCGATTACGTCCCTTGATGATTCAATTAAGCCACTGTAAAACATTCTTTTAAAATATGACGAAGCGGCTATGTAAAAAAAAAAAAAATATTATTATTAAAGAAAGCATATATACAAAATAAAAATAAAAACCAATTTAACAAACCTGAAAGCACGTATCTACAAGCACCAATTCTTCCTTCTTCTTCATCAAAAGTGAAAAAAACATCATGATATTCATTATTAGATTGCGCTATGAGTTTGTCCAATAAATCATTGACCAATATTTCTTTTTGATCAATTTTTGCATTTTTTTCTGACTTTTTTAACTTTTCTAACTTTTCTAATTCCTCTAACTCTTCTGTATTTATCTCATAAGCTCCAGCAAGCAACAATAAATCTTTATATGGCATTAAACATGTTTTAACTTTGTACATTCCCTCTTTAATATCTTCTTGTATTCCAAAAATAAGCTCCCTTCCTGCTACCCAACTTTTTCCATCTAATGGATCATCCCCATTCAAGAACAATTTTTTGTTAGAATCATTAATTTTTAATTTAATCAACCCTTTCATAATGTCATCATGCGAAAATTCATTCATTATTTTATATATTTCTTCCATTACGCTTTTTATATCTGAAGATTTCCAAATAATTTTGGATTTAATTTCCTCGACAAAAAAAAACCAATGTTTAACAATTTCTTCTAAAGCTGGTTTTCCAATATTTGAATATCGTTCACAAAATGAATTATCTGGCTCAACATTTCTCTCAAATAAAGGTCTTTCAGTCCAACATACTTCCTTATATCTTTGAAAACAAAGAACTGCAAAACTTTCATATCCCAAGGTTTCTTTTGCTTCCTCTTGAAATGGACTTTGAAGATACTTTTCTGATGGAATGAATTTGATATGCATAATTTGATTCCATTGATCGGTCGAAAATATAATAATATTTGTATATAAATAATCTATTAAATATTTTGCTCGATTTTTGACTATATTTGTTGGAAATTTATCCGGTTGTTGAAACTGTGATTCAATCTCTCGTGCACATTTGATAAATGTATCACAATTCACTTGACGATTAAGTCCAATATTTCCCAAAGCTCTTAAACAAACAGGATCGTTTTGTAATTCTGGCGGTAAAAATTTGTCGGTGTCAAAAATGTTGAGAAATAAAATAACTTCCATATCATATAAAGTATCAGCCTTTACGAAAGCAGTGAGTGATTTGTTAGGTATCATTTGGTATTGTTCAAGACATTTAATTTCATGATATCCTGAAGAATTTAAAAAATTCTTCAAAAAAATGATGTATTCTTGAGAAGGTATGAGAGATTTTTCAGCAATATGTGGTATTATATAAGATTCAAAATATTCCAATCCTTTTATAAGAGTAGTACCTAATCTAGATAGTAATTTGAAATCCGATTCACGATCATATTTGTAAAAATCGGTATTATTATCGAAAGAAAAAAATGGAAGTTTGTACGTAAGAAGTTTTCCGGCTGTAGCATCAATAAATTTTTCTTCCCCAGAATGTATTGGCCATATGGGTAATGATCTAAGAATCTTAATAAGTTCTTGTTTTTTTCCAAATTCTATAATAATTTATAGTAAATATTAGCATTATTTATAAAACATTAAAATTCTAATTCTTCTACTTACGTAACAGAACATTAAGTTCCTCTTTAATAAATTTTCTAAGCTTTTCATAGTCAGATAATGATAGATCACTAGTCTTAAATAACTGTTCCATAGGCTTATGTAATAAAGAACAAGTCCACTCTAGAGAATTAATTATATTTGTAGGAGTGCAACTCACTATACATTTTTTTAAATTTTCATGAGCATCTTCAGGAAATTTCATATTAGTAAAGCGTACTTGTAGTTTCACTAGTATTGGATATAAAATATGTCCATTTTCAGGTATGTATAAAAGTGGATTTTTCGTATCAAGTCGAACAAGTTTAGAAGGTTGAATCATTGGCAGCAAAGGATATTTTGTAAGTCTAGTAAATTCTCTTTCTTCTTTGACTTTATTTAATATTGACCAGATTTTTTTAAGCCAATCATCATTTGGTATAGATTCTCCGTTTGGATCCCATGATCTTTCCTTCAAAGGTGGTAATTCAAACGTTAAAAGATCTAAAACAGCTGAAGCATCAAACTTTTTGATATTTGTAAATGCAGGGAAATTGACATCATTAAAAATTTTAAACAAATACTCTGGCAAATCAATAGAAACAAATTTTGATGGACCAGTATTTGGAAATAAATCTAAATGTTCTTTTTTTCCAATGTAATAAACTTCACCAAATTTTCCAACCGATTCATTGCTCAACGGAACTAACGATAATCCAGTGAGAATTTCATAAGAATTTTTATCTTGAAGAATAAAATTAAGCAATTCAAACAATGAATCATGCTTATTATCAAGCTTATCATGAATATCAGGAATTTCGTGTAATTTTTCACAAACTGACTCTCCGGTAACAGGTTCATATGGGAAATTTGGAGGGTCTCCAGATTCAACAATTTGACTTAGTTGTCTTATTTTATCTTTACCAAGTTTCACAGCTGAAATTCCTGAATTAACCAATAAATCTGCGATTATTGCTTTTTCTTTCTCAAAAATTCTAGCTTCTCGTAGCGAAACAAATTGTCCGCCATTGACTTCAGTCCAGAAAAATTTTTGATTATTAAGGCCTAGTTTTCTAATAACATCCAATCCATACTTCCTATACAAGTCCATAAATGGACTTAACTTAACGGGAATAGGCCAAATTTTATCTGCAGTATGTGGAACAAAATCTGTCCCTTCTTTCTTGTACCTAGTTTCTTCAAGAACTACAATATGTTCAAGTAGTTTAATATGCAAATCAGGTAAAACGTCATACAAAATGTATCTATTCCATTTTGCATCATCACAATTAGCTTGCAGGAAATGGCCTTTCGAAGGTAAAGAAAAGTTTCCATTCAAATGAACTCCCAAATTGCTACTTATTGACAGTGATAAATGGGAATAAATGTCTCCCGTAATTTCAGGAGGATCCGGAAACTATAATGCAAAAAATTTTATTAGTATATTAGTATTAATAAACTAACAAAAAAAAAAAACTTTTACCGATTCAGCTCTTAATTCATCTAATGATTTTATATAAGATTGAGCAAGCAGGGAAGCAACGCCACCTCTTGGCTTTGTTAAATAAACAACATTAATAAATTTCAAAAATAAAAAAAAATGTTAAAATGCATTAAGTTTACCTTAACTTGTTTCTTCTCTGAAAATTCTTTGAATTCTGGTTTGATTCTGTCGTGCCCTCCTACGCATATAGCCCATATTTCTGAAACTTTATTCCCCATATCATTGATTCGTTCAATATCTAACTGATAGACTTGCGCGTTATCAATACTATCAACCATTTTTCGACGAGCATTGCGACAACTATCACTACTGCTAATCTTTGATTGCCATATCAATTGAGAATCTTTGTCTTTCATATGATATAAACTACATGATTCTATATTCCTTAGGAATAGCATCTCATTATTATCCTGAATATTATTGAACAGTTCCAGAATTTTGTTCGTGTTGATAACTTTATTCGATATATCACTAACTTTTGCCAATTCAAAAGTCCTGAGCGGAATTCTGAACAAGGTTCCCCTAAATTCTTTCGACATATCACAATCTCCTGTTGCGTATTTATCAGGAAAGCATTTCTCAATGAAATGGAGTATTTCTTCGTATGAATCGCATTGTTCTGGAAAACTTTTCTTAAACTTCTTTTCAATAAAATCAATTTGAATACCTCTTGGTCTCTTAAGAGGAAATCCTGATGGTGGAAGAAATTTTGCATGTGGATCTAAAAATGCGATGTACCTTCCACTCACAATGCTCAATAAATCTGTAACATGAAAAGCATAATTAAGATTTCCAATGTCAAGGTTTAGCAAAGACTGAAAGCTATCGTTTGTAAACTCTTCGTCATTATAAATCCATATCGCAGGACCTTGCCAATCTTCTATTTCTTCCGATAGGAATATTTTTTTAGGAGGGCTAAAATCATGCTGTCTCTCATCTATGATTACCGAAAAATGTTTGGCACCAGTGTCATCTGCATTCTATATGAGAGAAAAATATATAAATTTTCAAATATAACTTTAAAACAATATTAAAATTACTTCATTACTCACTCGAAGAAACTCTTTAAATATTGAATTTGTCGAACAATCCTAATTATATAAATTATTCGTTAAAATGATATAATAAAATAAAAAATTAAATTAAATTAAAAATTGTACCTTGATAATATTTTTAATCTTAACGGTCAATGATTCAGTTTGTTCGTAATTAGTATCCTTAGTAGAACCATTAACTAGAAAAAAGAAAAAAAGATAAATGCGCGTTATATAATATTCTTATAATAATTTTCAAATTAATTATTTACCATATATTGTTCCTTTTAAAGTTTGAATTCCCAATTCTTCAGCAATATCCTTAGTTACAAGATGGTGAGCAATTTTATGCCTGCTTCTTTCTTCTTCTTCAAGCTTATCTGCCATGTCATCAAATTGAATTTCATTCAGTTCAACAAGCGCATTATTATTGCTTGGGATTAATAATCCGTCTAATTCTTCCAGCTGATTTCCGTCTCTCCTATTATCCTTTCGTATCTCTATAATCTGCTTGAGAATCTGGATGATTTCTTCTGTTGATAAATCTTTATACTCATTTTTGACAGTGAAGATCAACTCCTTGACTCCAATTTTATCTCTAACCCCCATAGCTTTATATAATTTCTCAAATTTAATAGAATATTCTATAGGAAGTTTAACAATTAAGGAATCCTTATACTGAAATTTATTAGGAAGATCAAAGACAACTTTGTCGCTTGAATAAAACGTATCTCCGCATAAAATCCATGATTCATTTTTCAAATATTCCCTCATATAATCGAATGAAGTCTTATCATCATGAAAAGCTTCATTCATATATTCATAAATTACGTCACAAATAGACTTTAATTCTACAGGTGATTTATTCTTATGTCGACAAAGTTCCAATTGTCTTAGAACCGTTTTAACATCGGGATAAGTATGCCAATTCAAATATTCCAAAAAGTGATGATTCTTGGGGTTATAATCCAAAACCGGTGCAACAAAGCAAACCAGATTTTTGTATTTCTTATAGTAACAGTCCACAGGTTTCGAAAAAACTTTCTTTCCATATTCATCAACTGTTGGAATCCACTCTTTTTCTAAAATAGCTTCCAACGTTGCATGGTTATTATTATTATTAGTTAATTGATTCCATTTTTCATCAACATATTTTAGAAGTTTCAATGCTTTGCTATGAATTAAATTATCACAAATATTAGAAAATTGCCTTCGTGATATAATTGTGTCGATCCGAATTATTATATCATTAGGGGAAAGAATTGATTTAATTCCTAACAATTTCAAATTTGAAAGAAATCTGTTAGAAGACGATTGTGAAATTCCATATTTGCCAGCAGGAAAGACTTTCTCATCTTCAAAAAATAAATCAACTAGAGTCTTTTCTTCCGGATCAAATAAATCTGTTGGTGATTTAATTAACTTCACGCCAAAAGATATTTTTTGATGCCGTGACATTTCAAATGTACCAGCAGCAACAAATGACTTTCTTCCAAGAATGTCCTTTAAGTTTGCATCGTAATCAAGTAAAGATTGTAACCGATCAAAGAGTCTGTCAATCACTATATCTATATCTTCAGGTGATTGCGAATCAATAAATGGTATTACATAGTTTTGCCAATAATCAATTACATTTAATCGAGGAACTTTAATAATATCTTCCAATATATAACATATATTCTGTGAATTAGTACTAAGAAATCCTCCCATATTACTTGGATAAATTATCTTTCCATATGAATTTTCTTCCTCGCGGGGCAGAATATACCAATTCGAATTGCCAGGCAATAATGAAATTGGTAAAGTATGATCAATTTCAGTAAAAATTGGAAGATGCTTGATAACTTCAATGAGTTCCTGCGTAAGATGATCTTTATTGACAAGTCGCAAATAATTAGATAAATGGTCGATGAGCGCCGATGCTTCATGAATTTGTAAATTTTTATTTAAATTCTCTGGATATGAAGCATCAGCTCGAAAAGAAGCCAAAACTGATATAATGTCATTAAGTTTAATAATATATGGAGATACTCTATTAAAAAGAAAAGAAAGATATTATTTATTTAGATACCATAAGTAAAGAGATTATAATTTAGTAATACTTACTTATCCCATTCAGAAATTTCTTTAAACTGATTATCCGCGAACGCAGCACCGAATATTTCGAAAATAGCTGTAAGGTCTTCGCTTGTTTGATTCAAAAAAATTTTATTAGGAGTTCTTAATTTCCTAAGAGAAGAACGATTTGTTGGGATTAAATGAATATCTTCAAACTTTGTTAAATCCCAATTTCTGTATCTTAGGTTATCCCATAATTGATAGATCCATCCACAATGATTCGGCATCTGTATCACTTCAAAATTTGCATTTTCCGCAAAATTTAACGAGAATTTAATCATATCAACAACAGCGAATTCATCTAATATTTTGATGTTAAGATCCCATCCAGTATTTGCATTATCGTACAAAAGTTTATATAATCTGAAACTGATCGATTTGTCGATGAATTTATCTAATTGATTTGTGAAAATATTGCGCTCATCATTTTCATGACTCTTAATGTCATCATCGGGACCGATATACACATAAGAATTGCCAAATTGAGTTAAAGTACCAAGATTCACACCATCCGCTAATGGAATTATTTTGAATCCTTCTAATTCATCAAAATTTTGATCATTTAATTCGTTTAATATATATTCAAATAATAGTAAGACTTCTTTTCTCGACAGTACGTTATCCCATCTATCACGATTGTTACTCAAATAAGTACGGATAATGGTAGGAGAAAAAAACTTGAGAGAGTCTTGATGTCCAGAACTTTTTAATACTCTGATGATAGGGTACAAAGTTGATATTACAGGAAATCCAATATTACCAATTATTTTAGATAAATCAAAATTGAATAACTTCTCATCTTCGAAATAGCCATTTGAAAGTGAAAGCCAATGAAATTTGGGTTCTCGGAATGAGGGCATATTATATGAATATGTTGAAACTTCAGCTACTGTTCCAATAACATTTGATGAAAAAGGACCTTTGAATACACAATCGTCAATACTAAGACTTTCTATGACATTCTGTAACAGATCTTTGCAAAAAGAACTTAAACTACCCGATGTAACTTCTTTAACTATTGGCCAAAATTCATATATATTATCCGATTGAATATTAGACCTGAGCTCACGAAGAAACTTTACCCAAGCTTTGGGTAAAACCTTTTCAAATAAATATCGATTCCACTCAACCTTCAGACGCGCCAATGCATCAACAGCCTGAAAAGTACAATATTCAATATTTAATATTTAATAGCTAAATATAGAAATTTTATCAAAACATATAGCAGAGAATTAATTAGTTACCAGATCCTCATTATCTGCTGCTGACCATAAGGAACGTCGATTAGTGCTAACCTGTTAAAAAGTAAATAAAATGTTTTTAAACCAAATTATTTAAAATCATAAACAATATCCTATATTCGTTAATTCTTACCGCAAAATATCCATGTACGGAAACGAGGAAAGGCATATCAATGGGAAGAGGTAAAAAGCAAAATAATTTTCCAGTAGCATTTAAATTATTCAAAGGGACAGCCAGACCAACATTAGGAATAAATTTATAATCTCCTATATATTTACCGAAGTTCTCATGAAAATATGCTTCGGCTTTGAGTAAATCATCAAGATAATTCAAAATTAACCATGAGCTAATTTCTTTAGGATATCCTTTCCGTTGTCGAGAAAATGATGCGACATAAGACGTTTCTAGTTGATTATGGTTATCAAGATCTTTTGACTTAAGTGAATTCATCATTGGTATAATTTTTTCGACTATCGAACGACGTTGTTCTCTAACATGATCATCAACATTCTCCAACTGAATGGTGTAAAGTAATTCAGGTTCAGTAGCGCCTTCTTTCAATTCATAGAAATGAATACGTTCAATATATTTTAAAAATAATAAACAATTTATGCTTTCTTTTTCATAAAACTTGTGAAACATATCCAAAATTGCTTCAGGTTTATAAACTTTGTTAGAAATTTTTGAATCGACAGAATCTTGATTAGTACGGAGAGGATAACGAAATATAGTTCCATTAAATGGTTTATCACATGAGATTTTGAATGGAGCAAATTGATCTGGATAATCCTTTGACAATTGTTCTTTGACGAAATCGAATTGAATACCACCGTTAAAATACCATTCGTGTGGATCAAGGATAATGTATTTATCACCAGTAATAAAAGAAGGAGAGTCGGTGATATGATAAATTGAATTAAAACCAACACCCATTACTAAAATTAAAAACGTAAATTATAATAAGCAAAGTTAATAAAATATATCTTTGGTGAGAAAAACAAATAAAAGAAAAACTTTACCTCCGATCTTATCAAATTGATCACGTTTTTCACTATCAGCTAATTTAAGCAATGATTGAAAATCTTTTTCCTCAAAAGTAGTAGTATTTCTTGATAAAAGTGCAGGGCCTTGAAATCTATCAAGTTTCAAGTTTGTCCTTTGATAATTATCTACATAATCCGGTTCAAATAAACTTTGTGATGGATAAGTATTATGATCCAGAATGAAAATTTGTTCAGTACTTTGGGCATCATCTGAATTCTGAAGGATTTCACGAAGAATTTGAGAACCATCAGGATATTCATCAAGAATTTTACGTAAACGATGAGTGTAAGGTTCTTTTGGTTTAAATTGTCTTCCTATCGGCATTTTACGTAAAGGAGCTTTTAATGATCTTTAGATTTTAGAAATAGCAGATATGAAATGAAAATTGAATTTTAATTTATTTTAATTTACGAGATCAATTTAAAGATATTCCTCAAGTCACACGTACATCCACGAAGTATACACTACTCATGATATATTTACATATATAGTAAAGTATAACCCGTTAAATGTCTATTTTCGTAAAATCACAATTCAGGAGCAGATAATGATATGATTACATCATTACTGAAAAAAAGAGTTTCTCTATAATTATTGGGTATTGATAACAGATTATCAATAACAAATAATGTGAAAGATTTATAATTGTGCAGAAAAAAATTTTTTTTTTTTTTAGTCTCAATTTGTTCTTTTATCACTGGTCCGAATACGACCTATGCCGATCACATCATGTAATCAAAAAATTTTTGCACACGTTTAATTTTCTTTTTTTTTAATATACTAATATGTTATACATTATTATTAAATAAAACCAGAAAGTTTGCCCTTGGGTTTCCCACTATATTATGCAAATCTACAAATTTATCCAAAAAAGAAATGAATGTCTAATGTGGAGCTTAGTAATAGCTTAGTCATTCGGTTCCGGAAGTGTGATTTTACTGTCGAACATTATAGTAGTTATACACGATTTGATCTTTTAATCAGTTACTTTCAACAAAATGATAAATATTCAATTGTATAAGTTAGATGTAAGAATCGGTGAAGAACACTCGATTCGATTAATCTGATGGAATTAAAAAATTTGTTATATTAATTCATACAACCGTTTTTTCCAAATTTAGTCATTCCTGAAATGCCAAAAATTACTTCCCACCCAAATAAAAAAAATACAAAAGAATCGATGGTGATCGTGGAGGTGAGATTGATGATGATGGTAGTTGGTGGAATAGATGGAAGAAAGATGGGATTAATAAAGATTACAATGACTAACACAATAATTTTAAGGATTTTATTTTAACAAAATTTAAGATTTTCTTTTTTTTCTGGCTTGTTGACGCAATTGTTATTTTATTAATTGAGAACCGTTTTAGGTATAGTTATAACATAAGTACTATTGGGATTTTCATACAAAAACGATTAAACAATTACTAATAAGCTATCCCCCTTGATAAATTTATTGTTTCCTAAATATTGTACTTTAAATTAAAGTTTGTACCTTTTGAGATTTGCCTTTCTCAATGATTTTATTACAAACATTACGATTTGCGAGCTACAGAGCTACAGTAACTGCAAAATCACTATTACCGACTGATGTATTCTAATAGCTTGTTTTACTTAAAAGGTAATTTTCACAAATCAAGTTAATGATTGATTTACCAGTAAAAAAAAAAAGATTGATTTATCGGTTTATCAGTAAAAAAAAAATCAAGCTTACTGACTAACTATATTGACTATTTATCGCAACCAAAAATAACCAAAAATTGATTAGTTGATTATCAGAAAAAAAATTGACGTGATCTATTAATAATTTTAACAGTAAAATTTATCATATTGTGACGATTATTCCAATATGCTATTATTTTTGAATGGCTTGGACGCTATCAGATAGAATAATATATAAAGGTACCAATATTTCCATTCTCTCTCAACATAATATTTGAACACTCTCCTCAAATAAATATTACTTCTCATTAAAATATTCAACTTAACTATCCACTTATCCACTTTCTAAGAAAAATTCAATAGAATATCTGAAATATTTGCCAGTTACGAAAGTAAACTTTATTTAATAGCTTGCTTTTTCATAGTTTAAATGACTTTTTAATTTTTAGCCCTAATCTCCTATCTAAAAGAAAGAAAAACCAGGTCTTATCGTTGTTTCCTGTTCCAAAATCACGATATTATTGTTGAATCAGCTGACTTCCAGACTCCATGAAAGTACATTGACGAAATTTGATCTCGTCATTTTTGACAGAAGCCTTAGGATTAGATGAATGTGACTTTACAAGTTTGGAGAGTAAAGTGCGTTTTTTTTATTTTGCAAAATGTGGGTAACTCCTATTTAGGGACCGTCTTAAGTAGGAGAATTACCAGGCTTTGATTGCTGGTTTTAAGTCATTATATTTGATTTACCGGTTTTGACCGTTCAGGCGCCGCCTAGGGATTAAGGTTAGGGTTAGGAACAAGCTGACTATTTTGGAAATCAAAAATACGAACAAGTGATTCCTGTTCAAGTGATTTGTAACATGGTAGATTGTAAGGCATTACTAGTTTTCTGAGGAAGGCAAAGAAGCAATATTGATATGAAATTAAGCTTTGATATAGACATAAAAAAGAATTGCTGTATATTAATTATTAGAAGATATGCTTTATTACTGTATTGATGTCAGATTAACTGAATATGCTAGTGAAATTGTATGGACCACCTTGAACGTTCTTATTATTATTTGCAAATTCATGAATGCAAAGAGATGTATACAGTTAATATCACTATTGACAACAAGCTGCATTACTATTTGGAAATCAAAAATATGAACATGTGACTCCTGTTCAAGTGATTTGCAATATGGTATATGGCTAGTTTCCGAGAGAAGTAACATTTAAAGATAGTTTTAAGTGGAAAATGATATGGAATTAAGCTTTGATATAGACATAAGTATGGAAACTTCACAAGAAGCTCGTGAATGTGACAATGAACTTATACAACAAAAAAGGTTGTTTTTAACGGGGGTGACTGGAAATGATGGTTTTTTGCCAGCTACTTTTTGCCCCCTCATTAACTGCGACTTGATGATCAATGAGAAAAATGAGAAAAATTAAACGTATTAATGAAAAATAGGCAATAATAATAATTAATAAAATCTTTACAGAGTTGCGAATCAATGAAACTTATAATTTAAATATTTTAAACATACATGAAAAATTGGATTAAATGTTATAACACGCGTCATAATTTTTTTGTTGTTTATTGGCAGGAGAATCATCCGTACATCATGAGAACCACAAAGTGATGACTGTAATTTGTGAAACAGATCTAAGTTTTTTTGTTTTCAATTACAAATGTATAAAATAATAACTACCGTATATAATCATAAATCTATAAATCACTAATACCTATTCTATCTCATATTTTTAATATTAATTTGTTCATATCTAACGATATATTTGTATGTGACCCTTTGACTGTTTCTTCTTCCCTTGAATTATTTTCCGTACTGTTCCTATCTATGTTCATATCATGTTTATTTCCCATTTTTTTTAATTTGTTACAACGTACATTCCAATTATCTTTTCTTGCAGCTAAAATTAATCGTATTTTTTTAATCTTATCTTGGCTATTAAGATAAATTTTTTCATTAACCGTCCCTTTCAACAATTCATGCCATATTCTAGAATTAAGTGATTCTTGATTTATTACGTTCTTAAACTTACTTTTCTAACAAGAGATCTTGATGTCTTTTGCTATTGTTCACAATTTTCCTTTGAATCTGTTAAACGTTCTTTGATTCCCATATGTGTTTCCAATTTTCATGTTTTGAAACATCTTACACATATTCATTCACCTTTTATAAAGTTGATCTATTGTTGTTAATCTTTCAAGAATTCTTAATCTTCTTAATCTTGCACACTGTTAATTCATTATCTCTAGAATCATGATCGGCTTTATTAAATTCGTTTATTATAATACTTAACGTTTATCCATATTAATTCTATTCCACTTTGTATTTAACTTGATTCATTTTCTTTATCGTACTTCTTACATTTTCTCTAATTTTTTTTACTTTTACAAAATAAATTAAATTCCCAAGTTTTATTTTAAATTAAAATTTTACGAATTACTTGGACAGTTTATAAGTTTCGGTTAAATTTTGAAAATTGAAAAGTCGATTTTTATAAAAAAAAAAAGGTATGTGTGCAAATACAATATTTACGTCTTTAAATACCGTTTATTTCTTTTTGGAAATCACAGATAATTTAAACAAACTAAATTCCTTATTTAAAAAATCATGAAGTAAGATATTTATTTAAAAATGAAAAAATTTTTTATATAAACGTTAAAGATTTAAACACTCATATACAACCCAATCTTTGTATTACAAATTTTTATATTTATTTTTCTTTTTTTTATTTTAACGGTAAGAGTAGTACGTATTATCTTTTTAATTTCTTTATTCTGGACTTTTTATAAAAAGTATTTTTTTTTTTTAGGGACTATTCAATGGACCTTAGAAATGTAGGCTTTTCATACGTGGGTAGATTTCTTTTGTTTCTTTTTATTTCTTTAACATTTGCTAATTATTCCTTTTCTTTTTTTTTTTTTAAGAATAATTATAAACTGACAATTTATAATGTTGCTCATGAGCTGCGGTCCTACGGTCCTACGCATGTACTATTTACATTTATTCAACCATTGTCGTTTGTGTAACATTTATTTTCTTAATACAATGTGGCGAAATCCTCATGTGACAATGATCGACAGTCAATTTTTCATAAGTCCTCCGCATTCGCTCTGGGACAATATTTTACAATAAAATGGTATTCTAAGACAATACTCATACTGAATTTTGAAAAATATTGTTAACACAGAATCATAGTGAAAAATAATATTAAAAATATTGAAATATTGTCTAAATGAAAAATCTATTGTATATTATTGATACATGATTTAGGTGCCTTGTTTCAGCCCCTAAAAAGTCTAAAAAGTGTGATCCACATACTGTAATTGACGTATTAATATTTCCAAACACAGAGACATCCGTAATGCACATAATATTAAATCCAAAAGTTTGAAATCTATGAAAAAGATATAAATAAGCGAAAAATTTCCATATTGAAGAAAATAATTAAAATTCAATCAAAAAAAAAAAGAATAGAAAAAGAAAAAGAAAAAAACTTTGATAGTTTTTCACATAATTCAAACTTTAAAATTAAAATTTTCTAACAAAATGAATCAAACCAAAGTTACCATTAAACTATCCATTCCATCTATCGCAACTGCTGAAGTCGCTGAAAAGCCAAGTGATGCCGCTGGAATACAATGTACAGTCATGTAATAAATTAAAAAACATTTTGTAAACTATGTAAACATCTTCATTCTAATGTATATAGTTAAATAATTATTTTATCAATATGCCTATAATTTACAACTTTTAAATCTATTTATTTTTAATATCAAATTTAATTAATTAGTTTACTTGTGTTATTATAATTATCAAATTACTTAATAATTCGAGTCACTATTCATATTTCATATATAAATTTGATTATTTACTATTCACTTTTATCCTATGACTTTGTTGTTATTGAGGACATGGTTAAATTCGCCATAATTGGTTGATATTGGTTGATTATGTATTACAAAATTTCAATTAAAAATGATTATTTGTAATAATAAAATAAAAAGCGTTATAAGACTTTTGTGATAGCGCAGGAAAATCTTGTGAATTATCGTATAGTGCATTTACGTAGTACGCTAAAAAAATTTTGATGTTGTCGGTCAACCTGCAAGGAATTATATTCCTTTGCCAACCAAGTTTAATTTCTCTTTGTAAAATATAATCCCCGAGTTCTCTCTTTTTTATAATAATACGCCAAATCCTATCTTTTAATGTCCAACTTTCATATCCCAATTTCTAATATCCAACCTTTTTATCATATATTCACCATTAGTTTAGGCTCATTTCTGACCTTAAAATTATTAAGCTATCTAACTATAAAAACTAAAAATAAATTATATACTAAAAATAAATATTAAACTGCGTCACTAAACTAATTATGTTAGTCCTTANACTTTTAAATCTATTTATTTTTAATATCAAATTTAATTAATTAGTTTACTTGTGTTATTATAATTATCAAATTACTTAATAATTCGAGTCACTATTAATATTTTATATCTTTTATTTCATTATTTCCGTATCTTATATAAATTTGATTATTTACTATTCACTTTTATCCTATGACTTTTTTGTTATTGAGGACATGGTTAAATTCGCCATGATTGGTTGATATTAGTTGATTATGTGTTACAAAATTTCAATTAAAAATGATTATTTGTAATAATAAAATAAAAAAGCGTTATAAAACTTTTGTGATAGCGCAGGAAAATCTTTGAATTATCGTATAGTGCATTTACGTAGTACGCTAAAAAGTAAATTTTGATGTTGTCGGTCAACCCCATTACTTGCAAGGAATTATATTCCTTTGCCAACCAGGTCGCCTACAAGTTTAATTTCTTTGTAAAATATAATCCCCGAGTTCTCTCTTTTTTATAATAATACGCCAAATCCTATCTTTTAATGTCCAACTTTCATATCCCAATTTATAATATCCAACCTTTTTATCATATATTCACCATTAGTTTAGGACTCATTCTGACCTAAACTATCTAACTATAAAACTAAAAATAAATTATATACTAAAAATAAATATTAAACTGCGCCACTAAACTAATTATAATGTTAGTCCTTACAATGTACAAAGGCTTATGTATGTGCCACATTGATATGGACAAGAAACAGGAGTCAACACATATTTTACTGTCATAACGTTTTAATTTTCTTTAATCTCTTTTAAAGAAATGAAATCCTTTCACATTTTCAAAACATGTGACAAATTTATCCAAGTGTTTTTTATGTTTGAAACGGGAAAATATGTGATATGCGTTTAATAGCATTAAGTTGACAAAATAGGCAATTTCATAGATTTTCATCATTGTTTCCAGTTTTATATGGAAAGCCGTCCTTGACAAAAGGTTGATGTCCAAACATCATGAAATATAATGTTTAGACATCATGATGGTATGTCTAGACATTATCCAACATGATGTCTGGATATCAACCTTTTGTCAAGGACGGCTTTCCATAGTTTTAGACCAGTGAGAAAAAAAAATTCTTTGTATATGTTTCATGTATTAATAGTGTGACAAACATTATATACTTTTGACTGCGGTTATATTTTTAATAAAGTTTAAATTATGCGTATAATTCATAAATTGTTGTTTTTTTTAGTAGCAGAAGAAAATGAAAATTTTTACAAGTTTCCGGAGAATTCAACGAAAAAAAATTTTTTTTTTTACAATTAACAAAAAAAAATGTCTGGACTCTATCATAAAGACATTCTTTTCTTGAAATTTGCTGGATGATCCAAAATCTCTGTTTTCGTGCTATAGCGTTATAATGTTATCGAAATATTGCTATTTTTATTATTTTTATTACATACTTGATATTAGAAACTATTTTTTTCATAAAATAAAGAAATTAAATTAATAAAACGTTTTTTGGGTTTGTGATTTTTTAATTTACATGATCATCATGGTTTAGAAACGACAAAGATTCTTTGTAAATATAAATATCTAACGTTTCAATCTCACTTTCACCATGAACAAGGGAATATATTCCTTTGTATTTAAAAATATAAATAAGCTGCTCGCAATAATTATTGACATGATAAAAAAGGCACTTCATAAATATCTCCTTTCAGTTTTTCTATAATAATTTTCATCTTTTCGTTGTCTTAATATCTTCATTATCTTAATAATTTTATCTCCTCGTTATTTTAAAATTTCATCTATTTGTTATCTTAATAATTTTCATCTCCTTGTTATCTTCCTTTTCTTTTATCCATCAGCTGGTCTCTTGGATTTAACTTATCCCAAAAATGAATTCACTAGTTGTTCTTTATAGAATACTTCGTAAATTTTATAAAGGGTTAAAGCGTATAGAAAAGGTTTTCTTGTACACATATATTATAGATATGTTCATATATAGTTTTCTGTTCGTTGGCACTTTATTCTTAACAGGAGAATTCGACATGTATTTTATACTTATTCCATTAATATTTTTTCCTATAATATCAGGGATGATTATGGTAATATAATGTTTTATGCTGAGATCGTTTAATGTATTTAATACTAGCTATTAATTTATTTTATTATTTGTAGTTCTATGGTAAAACCGTTTATCATGGATTAGCATTCCTTGGTGTACATATATTTCCTGTTGTTGGAGGGATAGCTAGTTTTTATACTCAATATTTTCTTTGTAGAGACCATAATGAGTCATGTTTTGCAAATCAAAAGTCTTATATAATAGGTTCATCCTTTTTAATTGCAATTTCAATTTTATTTCAATTATTATATACATTATATGTGTACTTAATATGGAAGAAAGGGTAAGTGATAATATCTTTTAATTTGTAACCAAAAAAAATAAAAAATATTAAATTAAATTTATTTTATTCCATTTTTTTTTTATCTTAGAATATGGCCTCTAGTATATGAATTTAAATATTCTAGGCATGATGAGATTAAAGGTAAATAATCCATTTATTCGAATCCTTCAGCGTATATATATTTATTTAGTTTCTAAATTTTTCTTTTTCTTTTTTTGGCTTAGAAATGCATGCAATATATGAGGTCCAATTCCCATTGTTTCATGCTCAGATAATGATGATAGGGCTATTGTTAGTTGCTTATTTAGTAGGAATAAATGTTGCGAACCTGGTAGCACTAACAAAAAGACAAATTAGACTTCGAAACCTATTTATCAATTATCAAGTGCCGTTAAACATAATATTTCTTTATTATTCATTTTTTATGCTCAAAGGTGTAAGTACATTATTTTTTTTGTTCTTTAATATAATGTTATTATACTAAAAAATTTATATCAACATATTTAGGTGAGGGATGAAAAACATTATTTAATGTTTATTGTATATATAGGAAATTTTATTCAAGCCCTATTATTATATTTTGATATGGCTAGTTTCTGTGAACGATATAATAAATTGATAAAAGCAGAATATCCATTACAATGCTTTCAGTATAATATGCCTATGTGTGCATTTTTATTATATGGTAATAATAATTTCGCATAATTTTATATTGTTTTTAAATTAGTCAATAAAAGTTATACTAATGATTCTTTTTTTTTAAAAATATATATATATGTAATAGCATGTCTATGTTGGATCGTTTTGGCATTATCAACATGGAACACTATTAGATGCCATAAAAATTTTGGTAAATTTATGGAATTCTACAGTATGTAATTTTTATTCTTCATTCTAATTATTCATTTTTTTCCCCTCAATACTAATAATTATTAACTCTTTAAATAGTACAATATGAACCACCTCCTCCGGAATTTGAATCCGGCAGAAAATTAGTAATAAGAGAATCAAGTAGTATGGCACCTCCTCCGGAATTTAAATTTGACAGAAAATTAGTAAAAAGAGAATCAAGTAGTATGGCAAAGCATTCACACATCGTCTAATATTATAAAATTTAAAAATGAATTTTAAAAGCTAAATTTTTTATTAGAAAAAATGTACAATTATAATAGAAAGTTTACAATTATATTTAATAAATAACATGAAAGTTTAATAAAAATGAATTTTCTCTAACAAATTCATGAAACAACTACTGAAGTATTAAGTTAAAGCTAAATTACAAAGTAAAATAATTTAAATTTATTCGTGATTAATCAATGAATTTTTCTACCGAATATTCTCAATATTACCGCCGTTTTCAAAATGGTGTATGCAGTTTATTTATGATTGTATATTCGAATACCAATACTCGCCCAGTTTTTATCCATTTTTTGTCTATTTGTCCGTTTTTCGTCCAGTTTTTGGGTTTCTTTTTTTTTATTCAAATTTAACTGCGTACATCATTTTGAAAATGGTGATAATATAAATAATAAATTATTGTAGATGATCAAAACTACCGTCTTTTAACAACTAATAAGAAATGTAACAAAAAATGTACCATATTTCAGTATTTCACCCTATCTTAACTCTTAAGCATGCTACCATTATCTATTAGGATAAAAGAAGTTTTGTCTTAAAAGAGCTAATGATTCATCAACTTAAAATACCGAACTTCAGTTGCTAAATATTAATTATACTAACTCTAATATAGTTAGTGATATTTTAATTATTTATTTTTAGCCTTGAGCAAAGCAGGTAGAAATAGGTCTAGACAGTCAATGTGAAAAAGAAAAAGAAAAAATGATACAACAAGTATTTGGATGTCTCAGTGAACGTGGAGATACAGTATAGTGCAGATAAATTTTGACAATACATTTAGGAAAGAAATAATTTCCGAGAGGCTATATGATAAATCGAACGAGGTGTGGATTATGCCTTCATGAAGAGGAAAAACAACAGAACTTCCCGACAATCATGTTGGTACTTAGAGCCGTCTACTAATATGATCGTTAGGAATCTCTGTTAAGTAAAAAAATATATTTAAAGGTGGAAGAACAAAAAAATAGGAAGAAAATAAATTAGGAAAAAAAATAAAAAAAATATTATTAAAAACTAGGAAACGAAAAACCTGAAGCACAGTTATCCGTGCCAGATGGTATATTTTGATCGTGTTCTATATTGAATGTTAAATAATGTAGATCTTTTCCTGTTTTGTAATTTTTCTTATTTCCTAATAAAGTAATATTTACTTCGTAAAAAAAAAAAAAAAAAAAAAAAAAATTAATTATCGCCAATCTAACGATTATAGCCACCAATTATTTCTCCTGATTTTTTTAAAAAATATAAATAGTAGGCTTAAATCTAAATGCTTGATAAAAAACAGGTTTTTATAAATTACCAATAACTTACATAATCAATTCTTCCTAAATGGTTAATAATCATTATCTATAATAAACGCAATAGATTACTGAAATTAAAAATTTGATGTATTAATATTTCCAAACACGGAGACATGCGTAATGCACACAATATTAAATCCTTTGAAATCTATGAAAAAGATATAAATAAGCGAAAAATAAAAAAAAAAGAATAGAAAAAAGAAAAAAGAAAAAAACTTTGATAGTTTCCCTATAAAAAATTTTGATCCGTTTTTTGATTCCGTTTTTATTCCGTTTATATTATTAAATAGACAATTCCGTGTTTATTCAGCAAAGGTCTCATATTTGATTATTTGCGGAATTTATATGGAAATTTTACTGAAATTATCTGTAAAAAACGGAAAATTTATTGAATAATAACACTGATAATAAACTAATAAAAAACTGATTAATTCATAGATAAATTCATAGAATAATTTATTGCATAAAACTGAAAATAAATTAATAAAAAACTGATAAATTCATAGAATGATTTATTTTATAAAATGAATAAATTTTGGATAAAAAACTGAGATATAAATGGATAATTTCTACTTTACTAATTAGTTTTCTTGCTAACAGGTCTTGTTATTTGTGCAGTTTTTGGAGTTTTTGCTTGGATTTGTGAAGAAGATTTCTTTTTCCTTTTTTACCTATAAAATTGGAAAGTGTAATAAATATAATTATATTTATTTGAAAAAAATAAAACTCCTGCCTTATTAGAAGTTTCTGCAATTTTATCCATAACAGGCGTAGTAACATGGAGACGCCTGGAGTAGGAGATGGTAGACCCTCAGTACCTGGCACATTAGCTTTGGAAATGGAAGTTGGTAAAATAGTTGCTTTTGAACAGTAAAAAATAATAGTGTTTATACTTTATATTATTTAAAATGTTAATATTAATTACTATGGAATAATTATAAAAATAATACTTGAAGTACTTCCAGAAGCTTGCACGTTCATCATTAGTAGCGTCACGCACAGCACTACGTGCATCTAGAGATGATCCTGCAAGCGAAGGATCAATGGTTATTAGCTCTGTATATAATTTATGACGTTTTCAGAATGCAAAACATTAATGAGAGATAGATCATCTAATAATGCAAGAAATAGTTGTTTGCACTGTTCATATAAACTAAGTTCACAAATATTAATAGCATGATTAGTACTTTGTGACATCTTTTAAAAGAAATTTTAAAATATTTATTATCAAAGAAAAGAAGAGTTGAGTGTTTTATTAGATAAAAGTTTGAGTTGTATTTATAATAAATAAACAAAGTTTATATATTTATAAACTTTTGAAAAGTATATGATAATTGATACGCGTCTTATAAATTTGAAAGTATAAATAGTTTAATATTTATAATATAAAAGTATATGAAAGTTTAATAATTGATACGCGAAACTTAATATTTATAATAATAAATATTGTATAAGCATTAATTTTTTTTAATAATATATTTTTTTAAATATATGGAATTTATCAGTTATATGAAATTAGTATTTAATATAAAAATTTAAAAACTCTGATTATTTTTAATATTAATAATTTTTAATATGGTTAAACAATTTCGTGTAAGGCATATAAAAAAACACAAAAAAACTGGGACCCCAGTTCCCCAGGCGTCACTGACTGTTATCCCTAGTGAATTTTTTATTTGCTACTATATTTTTGATCTATTCATATTATTTTTTCCGGTTTTGTTCCATTTATTATCATGGTTAATTATCAGCAAATTATCAGTTAATTTTAGAAATCTGATAGTCCATTTTAATTCCGTATTTATTATATTGCTGAAATTACTGAAAGAATCCGGATTGCTATTCAACCAGTTACTATTCCGAAAAAATTCACTGATTATTTACGGAACCCAAACAAAATCACGGAGTTATAACGGAAAAATTCTGGAGTGTCATTTTTTATAGGGTTTTTCACATGATTCAAACTTTTAAAATTAAAAGTTTCTAACAAAATGAATCAAACCGAAGTTACCATAATATCGCAACTGATGAAGTCACTGAAAAGCCAAAGGCCATTATTGATTAATGTACTGTACAGTCATGTAATAAATTAATAACATTTTGTAAACTATGTAAACATCTTCATTCTAATGTATACTAGTTAAATAATTATTTTATCAGTATGTCTATAGTCTACAACTTTTAAATCTATTTATTTTTAATATCAAATTTAATTAATTAGTTTACTTGTGTTATTATAATTATCAAATTACTTAATAATTCGAGTCACTATTAATATTTTATATCTTTTATTTCATTATTTCCGTATCTTATATAAATTTGATTATTTACTATTCACTTTTATCCTATGACTTTTTTGTTATTGAGGACATGGTTAAATTCGCCATGATTGGTTGATATTAGTTGATTATGTGTTACAAAATTTCAATTAAAAATGATTATTTGTAATAATAAAATAAAAAAGCGTTATAAAACTTTTGTGATAGCGCAGGAAAATCTTTGAATTATCGTATAGTGCATTTACGTAGTACGCTAAAAAGTAAATTTTGATGTTGTCGGTCAACCCCATTACTTGCAAGGAATTATATTCCTTTGCCAACCAGGTCGCCTACAAGTTTAATTTCTTTGTAAAATATAATCCCCGAGTTCTCTCTTTTTTATAATAATACGCCAAATCCTATCTTTTAATGTCCAACTTTCATATCCCAATTTATAATATCCAACCTTTTTATCATATATTCACCATTAGTTTAGGACTCATTCTGACCTAAACTATCTAACTATAAAACTAAAAATAAATTATATACTAAAAATAAATATTAAACTGCGCCACTAAACTAATTATAATGTTAGTCCTTACAATGTACAAAGGCTTATGTATGTGCCACATTGATATGGACAAGAAACAGGAGTCAACACAAATTTTACTGTCATAACGTTTTAATTTTCTTTAATCTCTTTTAAAGAAATGAAATCCTTTCACATTTTCAAAACATGTGACAAATTTATCCAAGTGTTGTATGTTGAAACGGGAAAATGTGTGATATGCGTTTAATAGCATTAAGTTGACAAAATAGGCAATTTCATAGATTTTCATCATTGTTTCCAGTTTTATATGGAAAGCCGTCCTTGACAAAAGGTTGATGTCCAAACATCATGAAATATAATGTTTAGACATCATGATGGTATGTCTAGACATCATGTTTGATATATGTAGGATGATGTTTGTACATTATTTAACATGATGTGAAAGACATCAACCGACATGATGTCTAGATATCATGCTGATCAAATTACCAAATATAGTATATTTATGAGTTACACAAAATAAAATTTACTATATTTGGTAACATGATGTCTAAGACATCATGTCGGTTGATGCTTGAGCATCATGTTGAATGATGTACAAACATTATTCTACATATATCAAACATGATGTCTAGACATTATCCAACATGATGTCTGGATATCAACCTTTTGTCAAGGACGGCTTTCCATAGTTTTAGACCAGTGAGAAAAAAAAATTCTTTGTATATGTTTCATGTATTAATAGTGTGACAAACATTATATACTTTTGACTGCGGTTATATTTTTAATAAAGTTTAAATTATGCGTATAATTCATAAATTGTTGTTTTTTTTAGTAGCAGAAGAAAATGAAAATTTTTACAAGTTTCCGGAGAATTCAACGAAAAAAAATTTTTTTTTTTACAATTAACAAAAAAAAATGTCTGGACTCTATCATAAAGACATTCTTTTCTTGAAATTTGCTGGATGATCCAAAATCTCTGTTTTCGTGCTATAGCGTTATAATGTTATCGAAATATTGCTATTTTTATTATTTTTATTACATACTTGATATTAGAAACTATTTTTTTCATAAAATAAAGAAATTAAATTAATAAAACGTTTTTTGGGTTTGTGATTTTTTAATTTACATGATCATCATGGTTTAGAAACGACAAAGATTCTTTGTAAATATAAATATCTAACGTTTCAATCTCACTTTCACCATGAACAAGGGAATATATTCCTTTGTATTTAAAAATATAAATAAGCTGCTCGCAATAATTATTGACATGATAAAAAAGGCACTTCATAAATATCTCCTTTCAGTTTTTCTATAATAATTTTCATCTTTTCGTTGTCTTAATATCTTCATTATCTTAATAATTTTATCTCCTCGTTATTTTAAAATTTCATCTATTTGTTATCTTAATAATTTTCATCTCCTTGTTATCTTCCTTTTCTTTTATCCATCAGCTGGTCTCTTGGATTTAACTTATCCCAAAAATGAATTCACTAGTTGTTCTTTATAGAATACTTCGTAAATTTTATAAAGGGTTAAAGCGTATAGAAAAGGTTTTCTTGTACACATATATTATAGATATGTTCATATATAGTTTTCTGTTCGTTGGCACTTTATTCTTAACAGGAGAATTCGACAAGTATTTTATACTTATTCCATTAATATTTTTTCCTATAATATCAGGGATGATTATGGTAATATAATGATTTATGCTGAAGATCGTTTAATGTATTTAATACTAGCTATTAATTTATTTTATTATTTGTAGTTCTATGGTAAAACCGTTTATCATGGATTAGCATTCCTTGGTGTACATATATTTCCTGTTGTTGGAGGGATAGCTAGTTTTTATACTCAATATTTTCATTGTAGAGACCATACTGTGTCATGTTTTGCAAATCAAAAGTTTTATATAATAGGTTCATCTTTTTTAATTGCGATTTCAATTTTATTTCAATTACTATATACATTATATGTGTACTTAATATGGAAAAAAGGGTAAGTGATAATATCTTTTAATTTGTAACCAAAAAAAATAAAAAATATTAAATTTATTTATTTCATTTTTTTTTTATCTTAGAATATGGCCTCTAGTATATGAATTCAAATATTCTAGGCATGATGAGATTAAAGGTAAATAATCCATTTATTTGAATCCTTCAGCGTATATATATTTATTTAGTTCCTAAATTTTTCTTTTTCTTTTTTTGACTTAGAAATGCATGCAATATATGAGGTCCAATTTCCATTGTTTCATGCTCAGATAATGATGATAGGGCTATTGTTAGTTGCTTATTTAGTAGGAATAAATAGTATGAACCTGTTAGCACTAACAAAAAGACAAATTAGACTTCGAGACCTATTTATAAATTTTCAAGTGCCGTTAAACATAATATTCCTTTATTATTCATATTTTATACTCAAAGGTGTAAGTACATTATTTTTTTGTTCTTTAATATAATGTTATTATACTAAAACAATTTACATCAACATATTTAGGTGAGGGATGAAAAACATTATTTAATGTTTATCGTATATATAGGAAATTTTATTCAAGCCTTATTATTATATTTTGATATGGCTAGTTTCTGTGAACGATATAATAAATCGGTAAAAGCAAAATATCCGTTACAATGCTTTCAGTATAATATGCCTATGTGTGCATTTTTATTATATGGTAATAATAATTTCGCATAATTTTATATTGTTTTTAAATTAGCCTATAAAAATTATACTAATGATTCTTTTTTTAAAAAATATATTTATATGTAATAGCATGTCTATGTTGGATCGTTTTGGCATTATCAACATGGAACACTATTAGATGCCATAAAAATTTTGGTAAATTTATGAAATTCTACAGTATGTAATTTTTATTCTTCATTCTAATTATTCATTTTTTTTTCCTCAATACTAATAATTAATTAACTCTTTAAATAGTACAATATGAACCACCTCCTCCGGAATTTGAATCTGGCAGAAAATTAGTAATAAGAGAATCAAGTAGTATGGCACCTCCTCCGGAATTTAAATTTGACAGAAAATTAGTAAAAAGAGAATCAAGTAGTATGGCAAAGCATTCACACATCGTCTAATATTATAAAATTTAAAAATGGATTTTAAACTAAATTTTTTTTTTATACAATTATAATAGAAAGTTTACAATTATTTTTAATAAATAACATAAAAGTTAATAAAAATGAATTTTCTCTAACAAATTCATGAAACAACTACTGAAGTATTAAATTAAAGCTAAATTACAAAGTAAAATAATTTAAATTTATTCGCGATTAATCAATGAATTTTTTTACCGAATATTCTCAATATTATCGCCATTTTCAAAATGGTGTACGCAGTTTATTTGTGATTATATATTCGAATACCAATACTCGCCCAGTTTTCATCCATTTTTTGTCCATATTTCGTCCGGTTTTCGTCCGGTTTTCAGTTTTCTTTTTTTTTATTCAAATTTAACTGCGTACATCATTTTGAAATGGCGATAATATAAATAATAAATTATTATTGTAGGTGTAAATCAAAACTATCGTCTTTTAACAACTAATAAGAAATGTAACAAAAAATGTACCATATTTAGTATTTCACCCTGTCTTACGTATGCTACCATTATCTATTAGGACAAAAGAAGAGGCTTTGTCTTAAAAGAGCTAATGATTCATCAACTTAAAATACCGAACTTGCTAAATATTGATTATACTGACTCTAATATAGTTAGTGATATTTTAATTATTTATTTTTAGTTTTGAGCAAAGCAGATAGAAATAGGTCTCGATAGTCAATGTGAAAAAGATCAGACGGTATATAAATGATATATATAATGTAGATCTTTTCCTGTTTTGTAATTTTTCTTATTTCCTAATAAAGTAATATTTTGACTTCGTAAAAAAAAAAAAAAAAAAAAAATTAAATTAATTATAAAATAATTTCTACTAAGTTATGAATACAATTCAATATTTTTAGTAATAATGTGATTTATTTTCATCATTTATTAATCGCCAATCTAACGATTATAGTCACCAATTATTTCTCCTGATTTTTTAAAAAAATATAAATAAATGAGGGATATTCTTGATAAACAGGTTTTTATAAATTACCAATAACTTACATAATCAATTCTTCCTAAGTGGCTAATAATCATTATCTAATAACGCAAAAATTAAGTTGATATATCAGTTTTTTGATTGTTCATGCTTGACGCCACCTCAGAACCATTTTTATCATATATAGTATACTGTATGCCTGGTTGATGATAAAAAAAGAACATTTTAAAGAAGTCTAATTTGTTACCTATTACAAAATTAATTATTATCATTAAGAATATTAACATCACTTAAATACCTACAATTTCTTTTTCAATTTCCTCAGTCTAGTTTGTTTTGGATTATTAGATAACTTGGAAGTCAACTTAATAGTTGAATAGTTGAATAATAATTTATTTTATTAATTTAATAAATTAATTGGCTGATCGTATCACTTTTATTTTTTTTTTATACATAAGTATATAAGTAATATTATTAACTTTATTATGTAGTAGTTTATTATAGCTAATTGTATATCATTATGTAATAATCGCGTCTAATAGTTTATTAATAATCACGTCTGGTTAATAGTTTATTATTTATAATCACGTCTATATAAAAGGTTGACAGAAATTTGATCAATTTGATCATGGCTGAACTGTGTTGACTTGATAAAAAAGTAAGATAAAAATACTTCTATGTATTTTTTAAAAATATTTGTTTTTTTTACATCTTTAAAAAGAAAAATCTATTTATTTTCACACATTTATTTACAATAAAGTGTGTTATCAATAGGTCTAAGAGGAGACTTTGTATATGACGCGTTGTAAATGATTTACGCATCGTTAGAGAGAAAAGCTCCTGTACCGTTGTCAACTGACTCTTTAAGATAGAGCCCAAGGTAAAGAAGGTTTTGAGGAGCACTATCAACCATTTATTTATTATTTATTAAGGTAAGCTAAAGATCCCTGCTTAGCCCAGTTTGTGTATGTGTGTTTTTGTGCGTGCGTGTGTAAAAAACAGGCTTATAGACAAAAAAAGCTGAAGGGAAGGAGAAACTGGCTTTCCTGGATGAGGGTTAGTCTATGTTTCTTGCTCATTTGTTTGGTATCCAAACCTTTCCGGATGCTTTTTTTTATGTAGTATGGTGGTGGTTGATTATTTTCTTCCACCGGTACCAACCATACTTACGATATTTTTTTAATTTTTTAGCTGCAACAACATTCAAACTACGATATATAAGCTAGATGCAATACAAGATGATACTAAGAACAATAATGAACAAATTGTAAAAAAATCCACATGAGGAAAGTCTCGCATCTTCCATACAAATTAACAGCCAGTGAGAAGATGATTTTTAAAAATTTACCGCAGAAGAAAATGGATAGATCTGTTACATGTAAAAAAAAAAAAAAAATAGTTTTTTCTTTTCGTCTTGTCATTCTTTAGATCAGGTATTAGACGTTTACGTAATAATATATGAATCAAGTGATTTATTTATTTTTGGATTTCCATTATAATAAATTATATTATATTCAAAATTTTTAAAATTCGTTCAAAATAAAAATAGAAAATTCTAATTTACAATGAATTTACACAAAGGGAAATCTTTTTTAAGTATATTATTTATTTTGACGTGATGTTATTAAATGTTTAAATGTATGTTATTAATTACAATATGGAAATTGAGCGAAGATTTGGTGGAATTTTCATCAAAAAAAATCTCATTTATAATAAAATCAAAATCTAAGGAATATGAATATAAATAAAAAAAAATATTTTTTTTCTTTATTTGAAACTAAATTAATGGAAATTACATCTCAAAATCATTCTTTCATGTTTATTATTACATATTGATATATCAGATATAGTGTATATATCGTATAATTATTTTATTTTATTTTCCATTGTTTTGTTCGTCAAAAATAATTGGAATACTGCAATAAATTTATTATAAAAATATATTTAATTAAATTTATTCATCGATTTTTGCATTTCACTGAAATTAAATTCTCTATTAAACGTAACTCTATAGTAATCTTCATAGGTACTATTTGCATATTATATATTTAAAAAAAAATTATATATATATATATATATATTTCTTTCAAATTTCATCCAGTCTTTCTTGTAATTATAAATTCTCCAATCATTTTTTTTTTCAGTTGATCTTTCGATTTAAAATTGAAGTATAAATTTGTCAAAAATTCTCTTCAATTTTTGAATAATCTCCGTTCAAATTTACTTTATAAATAGAATATTGTTTTTTGAATAAATTAATTAAATTATAACAATTAGGATTCATTATAACTAAATAACTAAATAATAATTTATGACTGAATTAATCTCGTTTAATCATATAATAAAGTTTTTATTTAGGATTCAAACTTAAAATGGACATCGTTTATATGGTCTTGACTCTTGATGACCCTCAAAATTGACGATTCTATTTGGGACCTCTTGAAAAAAGCAATTATATGAAATAATTATGTCTTTTATGCCTTATTTAACGATTGATACTTAATACCATTATTTTTAGTAACTTTATAATCATCTGTGTTTACTGCGCCACATTCTATTTACAAATATCCAATTTCATTGTTACGCTAAAAAATTTTTGGTTTCTTTACAAAATTTGGTATTTTTCATCGTTAAAAAAAATTTTAAATATAATATTATTTTCAAAAAATTTTTTTTTCAATGTTTCCAATGTCACTTCCAGTAATTCAGTAAAAATAAAGAAATTGATGATATTATTAAAGAACAACAATTAAAATTAAAATTCATCATTGATACAATATATAATAAATTTAACGTTATTAAAAGAAATGCCCTATAAAAAATTTTATCCGTTATTTCTGTAAAAACTCCGTGAAAATGATCCTTTCACGGATCCATTCACGGAAAATGCAAATAATTCGATATAAAATTCCGTGATATAAAGTTATTAATTACGGAAATATGAGCCTTTTACGGAAAAAAGATGAAATAAAAAAAAAACGGATTGACTTCTTTTACAGGATGGAAATTAAAAAAATTATCATATGGGAAATTGGGAATGATGGTCCATTATATTATGATGATCTTGGTAAAAAGGAATGGATAAGAGAATTGGATAAGAAAGTTTGTTTAATAAATTATTATGATGTTATTAACGAGTTTTTACTTAAGGTATAAAATAATTTTAGTACTTTTTTATATAATAATATGTAAACATGTACTGTATATAATAATATTTATTATTTTTCTTTGTAAGGTCAATATGGTGAGCAAATATATGGAATGTCACAAAATCCATATACAAATCATTATATTTTAGTTACAATGATATGTAAATCATGTTTAATAAATAATTTAAAAATAAATTTTACAAAATGGACCAGTGAGAATGAACAAATTGATGTTTTCATTAAAAAAAAAAGGAAATTACAAATTAAAAATTATGATAATATAGTATTTGAATGGATACCATATAATCAATTTGATAATATTATAATAAAAGGTGATTTTTCTACGAAACATCCCTTCGGCGAAATGGCTTCGTGAAATGGATTTTGGTGAAATGTACCGTAACCAGGTTATATGGTATGGATAGGTTACGGTTATAAGTATAATTAGATTATATCACATTGGTTATTTTCTGCTATTCTAGCCATCGTTTCGGAGTTTTTCTCTTTCTGTTTCAGTACGATTTAACTATATTGACCTAAGTATACATGTTTTGGTATAATCTAACTATACTTTATTTTGTCCCACCGGCATTAAATGCAATTTCAGAAATTTTCGGAAATTTATTTTTTAATTTGTAAATACCGAGACGTTGTCCCACATTAAAATTTGCAAATCAAAATATATAATATGGTCATTCCTAGTTTAAGTCACGTGATTTTACGTAAAAAATTTTCCCAAATTAGGATTATTATTATTATAGGAATTTCTATTTTTAGTTTTGTTTATTTTATTTAATTAGAACATACATGTATTGTAATGAGGGAGGTATTTTATATAATTTGTATGTTTTTCTTCATATAAATAAATAAAGTGCTTCGTTTATCAAATACATACATACATATATATATGGTCATTGATCTTCAATATTTGACTTTTGAAGAGGACGTCTAAGTCGTCTAACGTCTAAAGCCGAAAAATCACGTGACTTCACAAAAAAATTTTTCTAAATAAAGCTTTTCGCCATATATACACAACCTTTTAAACATATTTGCTAAGTGTATTTTGGCCTGCTCTGCAACTTTACTTAGAGCACAAAATGAGGCTTTGAATGCCGTTTTCGATTTATTTGACTTTATATTTTAATTAAGGTTTTATAAAAAAAGAGTCCACTCATATTATATCATATCACGTGATTTTCCCGCTTGCTGATGTGGGACAAATAAAATTTCGGGATTGCGTGCTTAAATAATCAAAATCTCGGAAATTTTACACAATTTTATTTTTCTATTTTACGAATGATAATTAACAATTTAATAGACTTTTAAAGAAAATAAAGAATGATTTAGTTAATAAGCTACAGTATGAAGAAATCTATTGATATAATGAAAAAGTGTGATGGTATATTAATTGAATTTCAATAAAGATACGATCATAACTCCAAAAAAAATGTATAAAAGAACGTGTTTTTTTCTTTGATAGCACTTCATTCTTTTACACTAAAATATTATACTAAAACATTTCCTCTGTAAAACAATAAGCAATGCAGCAGCAAATTATTTCCTCAAGTTGCAAAGCAACTCCTATCAAACACATATTATCCTTCAAGTTAATTTCTTTAATCTCTTTAATCTTTTTATCAGTATTAATCGAAGCTGCTCCAGTATCTAATGCTCTTGGTCCCATTACATCAGCCCCTAATTTAAAGAGCTTTGCTAATTACGCTGCTGCTGCTTATATTAAGGCTCCTCTTAATAATTGGGACTGTGGAGACATCTGTCTTGCAACTAAGGGTACCCAATTTGTTACAGACTTTAAAAACGATGTGCTTAACACAAGGGGTATTTTATATTATTACTGTGCCACACACGTTAACTTTTTGCGTTTATTAACAAAATAATAAATATGTAGGTTACATAGCCATGGAACCAGAAAAAAAATTAATCATCGTATCATATAGAGGAACTGTACCAGGAAGTGTTAGAAATTACATTTCTGACTTTGTCATTTATCAAGACGAATATACTCCTGTACCTGGTGCCTCGGTACACCATGGATTTCTTAATGCTTGGGAACAAATTCAACCCAAAGTTACCGATGATCTTATAAAATTAATCAAAGAAAAGCCCGATTTCAATATCGGATTTATGGGTCACAGTTTAGGTGGCGGTAAGTTCAATAAATTAAAAAAATTACATATTTAATTACAACTTTTTAACAGTCTTTTTTTTTTATCATAGCACTTGCTACATTATCGGCATTAGATCTTATACAAAAGGTGCCAGAATTAGCTAAAAGAAATGAAAAAGTGTTTCTTGCTACATTTGGTCAACCAAGAACGGGTGATGAAACCTTTGCTAAATATGTTGATGAAAACCTAATAGCAATAAGATCTATAGTTCGTGGTGATTTAGTTCCTCGTTTACCTACATCATGGACAATTCCATTTATTGGGTCCTATAAACATTTTGGTGAAGAATTATATATAGATAATCCTGATCATGATTCAAGTGCCTTTACTGAATGTAATGCTGAAGATCCAAAATGTTCTGAATCGATACCTTTAACTGAGTTAGGCCTAAAGTATCATTCGGGTCCCTATTATGGTGTTAATATGAGAGATGCTAATGTAAATTTAAATTTCAATGTTGAAACTTACGATTACTCAACTGATCCTTATATCTATTATGATCCAAATTTCAATTATGAGGGAATTATGAGAGTTAACGGTATTGATGGTACTAAGGGAGTTAATGGTACTGAGGGAGGGAGTTAAAGGTACTAAAGAAGTTAAAGGTACTAAGGGAGTTAACGGAGTTGACAGAGATGATAATAACTAAAGGTTATAGATAGATTAATTTTTTATTTTTGGACTTAAAATAGATAATAATGTAACATAATTAATTTAATTAATTTGTTGACTTAAAAATATATAATAATATAATTTAATAAATTTAATTAATTTGTTTTATCACCGTTTTCGAATTACTTGAAACTGCATTTTGTCGTTCACGTGACTGCCTCGTTCACGTTGTTTATATTTATTTTAGCGACTTAGTCTATTTGTCACTTGCATAATATGTCACTACCTGTGTTACCATAAATATATAGCCGGTGGTAAGATGATCCCTACAGACATCTCTGGGTTCCTTTTCATTATGGCATTTGTCCGGCCATTTTTATATACCTTTATCTGATACTAATACTAATACAGTCAACTCTCTATAAATGCACTACTTATAAGTGCACTCCCTTCTTAAATGCACACTTTGATTCAGTCCCAATTATATATGACCTCTAATTATTTACTCTTTATAAATGCACACCTTTTGTAATCGCACGCTTTTATCCAGTCTCAAAGGGGGTGTATTTATTGAGTGTTAATTGTACTATGATATAGATATATAGACATAGATATAGGTAGAGGTAGAGGTATAGGTAGAAGTATAGGTAGAGCCTAGAGGAAAGCCAAGATGAAACTGGCAAGATATGTAACAAAATGAAATAGAACATAAGAAAGGTAAGGTGTTAGATAAGCTTAAACATGAATTGTTCACTCCAGAAACATCACCAGCCATCAATAGAACAAATCTAGCATTGATGAGAACTCACAGGTCGAATGATGTCAAATTAGGTATCAATCAGATATCAAAACTCAGGCTGGTAAATGCCTGATTGATTTCTGATTCTTTCATATTTAAAGTCAAAATGATCTCCTGGTTAGTGTCAGATTTTGGTGGTACGGGGACCACCATTTATTAAAATGTTTACCACATAATCCAGAAGAGGTCTCTAAAAAGTTTGAAGTAAGTGCACCAACTATGCCCATATCAGCCAGCCCAAGCAATTCACTCGAAGCTGAGGACGATTACTACAAAATGCTCTTGGAAGATTGTGCGAAGGATTGTGTGTATTTTGATAAGGAAGTTGATTCCACACCCCAGTTGGTGAAAGAAACGAATGAAGAGATGCCAGACGATTCAGATTTTGGATGATGATGGATACGGTGGATATAATGAATATGGTGAATGTGATAGAGGATATTACTGTCATGATGGAAGATACAAAAGGAGAGGGTCCCCAATGATGAGTCCTATTATCTCTCCAGTAACTGCCTAGAAGAATTATAAGGCGATCATATACTGAATTATCATTTCTTTTTTTTGAATCACATGGGTGGCTTATCATGCTATATAACTACGCCACTTTATCATATGATTCGTAATGTTTCCTATGTGAGATCCAGATAATTCTGCAATAGTATTCGCAGTATACTTTGATTTTTTTCACGAAAACAGTTGACTTCGTCAACGATATCACTTGTAAAAACACACGTTTAAAAATTTCAAAACAAAATCTTTATTATATTTTTACTTAGTCAGAAGGCCTCTTTTTATTAATGTATTCGTATTACATAATAATAAAGAAATTGATTTTGATTAATGCTTTTCGTTATAACAACAGAGCTGTAAGATTTTTTACTCTTTTGCCAAATATTTTATTATTGCCAAAAAGAAAATTAAAGTATACAAGCTACATAGCATTAGCGCATATTTACAATGATATCCTTTTGCTTCTTTCTTAGTTGAAACCTTATAAAGAAGAAATAAAGAAGGTTTGTGTAAACAAGGCAATGTATTTCCTGTAGTATATGAAGTCCAACAAATATCACTAAAAATACTCAACTGATTTCAGAAAGAACTACCTTCTTTTTTTTGGGTGTACGTGCGGTTGTTGGTACTTCTTTGTCTGACAATTTTGGCAAGGAGGATCCAACCTTGTCAATAATTCTCAGTAACGATGTCTTATCAGAAGCTTCCGGCATCTTTATTATGTTGTACGTTTCTGCTAGTACGATATACTACATGGATAATATGATCGATCAATAATTAGTTGGACTCCATAAAAGTTATGTTATTTATTTAATAAAAATGAATACCCTAGTTTGCAAAACTGCAGTCAACAAAACCAACGTGTCAGCAATCCCATCCCGGTCCCAACCCTTTTCCAACCTTACGCAATTCCCAGCGGATGAGACGACAGACGTAGCCATTCGCGCAGTCCATCTCAAGTGTTTGTGCGTATAAACCTTCAAAAAAATTTTTTTTTTTTTATGTTACAGAACTGATTAGTGTTATTCTCAACCACACAAATCAAAGGATGCTTACCAAAATGTAACCATCCAACAGTTTGCAGTTTTTTAGCTCTGTCATCGTTCTTAACCACACTCATCAGTTGAACAAGCATGTCATGCATAATTTTAGGAGTTTTGAATGATTCTTTTAACCATTTTGTTGAATTTTCCTCAAACTTTTTCGCAGCCTCAACCAATCTGAATTTACACCTTCCATTGCGTTCGCAAATCGTTCCATCATTCCTTCGACCCATTTCCTTCCTCTTATCCAAATTTCGATCCTTTTTTTTCAGAGCTTGCAATCGAGCTCGACTCTCCCCTAAGTAGGAAGAATGCAGTTCATCAGTTATCAAGGAGCCTAGTAGAAGCACAAACAACTATGCTCGCTTACCTAATGCAAGTGACAACCTCCAGCTGTTCAAAACAGCGATCAAAAATTATTGACCATATGTTGATATTGTACCAGTTTTCTAGCATATCTCTTTCAAGAGGAGAAGAATTTCGTTCATAGAATGTGCACCTGTTGGAAATTACACAATTGATTTGAGATAATTAAAATATGGAATTTGAGAGATTTCATGTTAGTGATTCTTTGCCACCTCTAAATGGCATTGATAAAGTATTGATAATTTACAATCGTTCATAAACTGTATGAATGTATTGAAAATCTCCGTGCTTTACGGGATCATATTCATCATCTGGATTTATCCACGATCGCAACACTTTTTTCTGGAGGGCTCGTAAGTCATTCTTCACGAAAAATTAGAATCAAAGTATCATAACACATTGTATTATTATATCAATCGCAGACGAAAATGACAAATAAATAAATACCTCTGCATATGAAACCATATGTTCAGCAAGATCCTCTGGAATTTTTGGAACCTTATTTATGTTGCACGCCTTTATTTTGTTCCATTCCTCCTTTGTGAAAAGTTTTTTCAATCACGTATCTTCCAAATCAAGTATCCAACTGTATATAAGACTATAGAAAAAGCAGGAATTAGGCCAAATTGTGACAAACTCTATACAATAAAAGGAAAAAAAATGATTGCATACCTTTCTTCATTCAGCTTCATTCCATACCTAAACATTGTATCTTCGACAATTTTCTCAGAACTTAATTTCCATTTTTTGTTCTCTGCCATCTGGCTGAAGGATAATTCATATGATGTGAGCTCATTAGATGATATTTCTGGACTGGCGGGTCATTGCGGTGGAGGAGGATTTTGCGGCAGTAGGTGACGTTTACATTTCTAGATAAGAAAGAGATCGGCAAACAATTTTTTTGTACTTTGAGGAAGGTGCATAGCTGATTCCTCCTCCAGAATCAGTAGACCTCAAAGAAAAAATGCTGAATTAGTATGAGCAGGATGCGCATGTTATGGTGAATGTATGGCCAACAGGAGACCAGACGCTCTTCTTCCCCACACCATTGGAGCAGGGTGTAGCACAAATTTGTTAAGCAAAAAATGTACACGTCTATGGTGGTGAATAGCCAGGACTGAACACTTTACATGTTACGGTGAAATGGCCAACAGGAGACCAGACGCTCTTCTTCCCCACACCATCGGAGCAGGGTGTAGCACAAATTTGTTAAGCAAAAAGTGTGCACGTCTAAGGTGGTTAATAGCCAACATGGGACCAAACACTCTTTTTCTCCACACCATCGGAGTAGGGTGTAGCACGTTAGCTAAAATACTAACCTTAAGTTCTTCCTGAATTAAAAGCACCTTTTTCAATTTCTTAGTCCTTTTGTCTCCATGTTGAATTAATACATTTAATTCTGCTTGTAGTGAGTCGTGGGAAGCTTTAATCGTTCTTGTTCCTGAATTATTCTGAAGAAAATATTCATCTCATGTTGATAGATCTTTCCATTCAGAGACTGGCTTTCGCCAGAAGTCTTGATGTTGAAGTGTTACCTAAGCCTCCTCCAGTATTCTGTTTTTTTTTCTTTTTTTTCAACATATTATAGTTAGTACATACACGTGTAAATTACAAGTCGAGTACTTGCACATACTTTGATGACACCTATTAATATGGATTTTTTTTCAAAGTCCGGTATGATAATTTTCTAAGCCAGCATGACGTCTTATGTGTATTTATGAATATTAAAAGTGAATATTGAAAGGAAAAAAACTTTCAAAAACTTCAAAAACTAAAAAGTTAAAAAAGTGATTTATAGATAATTTTTCTCATGGGAAAATCATTAAAATCTGATGTAAGATTGTTTACGCGCCATATTATTACACGTATATTGATCACGTTGGTCACTCTTTAATCATTGACTTTATTAACATAAACTGACTCTGCGGCAAAAATTACCTTTTTTGACCCTACTCCTCCTCGTACAAGGTCAAAAAGATAATTTTTGCGACTCTGCATAACCATAATATTATACTCGGGTATTTTATCAGATTTGTAAATTTATCAGATTTTTAAAAAATACTTAATTTAACCAATAAATCATGCAGGCAAAAAAAACTTTTTCCATCATAAGCTATAACTTTATTATCATTATTTATTATCAAAACAATACGCATATGTGAGATTTATAGTAATTGGTATGGGTTGAAACTATTGACTCCAGTCATAAATCACAGTTTGTTCTTTATTCTCTTTATAATAATCTTCTTCTAATTCGCTATCTTCTATTTCACTTTCATTGCTGTCCGCTATTTCACTTTCGTCACTTTCTTTTATTTCATTTTCATTTTCTTTATTATTGTCTCCATCTTCAACTTCTCTTCCGGAGTTTTCTCTATTTACCCTATTTTTTAATTTATCAAAATCAAATATTAAAGCATCTTCTGTTCCATCCATAGAATTTGAAATGCCACAACACTTGAACGACCGCCTAATCATGTTAATATTAAGAGCGTCCCAAGCTTACTTTACCCAGCTTGTTACAAGTGAATAAGAAGTTTTGATTTCCCAGATGCTGTGTAATCTTTAACAGCTTCATTCATCCAATGATTATAAATATTTCGTACCTAATTTTTAAAAGTTAATTTAATTAAATTTGTTTATTTGAAGCAGTTTACAAAGCTCACCTTTGCCTTAAAAGACCTATTTAGTGATACATCAAGTGGTTATAAACGAGAAGTTAGTCCACCTGGAATAACTGCCAAATTGGTTTTCTTTTCACGAAACCGTTGTTTTACAGCATCAGTTTTATATGAGGAAAAGGAATCCAACACCAAAAGAGATCTTGGATTATTGCCTCAACTTGCGCGTTTTGTCCAAATATTTTCTACCCATCAGGTCATCTCACTTTCGTTTCAGATATGGTGATTTGTAACACATAAACTAGTAAACTAGTGTAGGCGTAATCGCGATACGATCATATTAGGAAAGTTCCAGACTGGTTTTCTTATTTATCACATGAGTAATCTGTCTCTTGTTAAGAAACCTGTGAGAAATTTCATAATTTGTTGATTAATATTGTCATCATCCAAATCATGAAGTTCAATACACCTAACAAGCTTTGCATATTCACGCTGTTTAATGTGATTTTTTTCACCAACAGTTGCGTTCACAACGGGACAATATGTTTGGATACAATTTAAAATGTCCGCATAGAGTTTCTGTAGAAAACAAATGCCATGTTCGATTAATAGTAAGTACTTTGTACAATGAATTTTCGTATGATAGATAGTTTAGGATTCCCTTTATTAACTCTGGTAATAGAAACGGTGAAGCCATTGGTATTATTATGTGAAAATGTCGTCCCCTAGAATATTTCAGTGAACTGGCTTCCAAAACTGATTTTTGTATATATCATTTTCAAATACAATCTATGGGCCGGTGCAAAAAGATTGGTACCTAAACATTGCATCGATAAAAAAAATTTTATTATGTAAATATTTTTTTTTATTTATTTAATATTATCAGTATGTATTTGGAAAGATACGATATAAATATCACGTCATGTCATGTGATCCTCATCAGAATGTCAAATTCTTCATCAATTAATTGTATATTTTCATCAGATTCAAAATATTTCTTAACATTTTTAAAAGCTCTTCCCCGAAGTCCTACAATAACCTTTGAAGAAATTTTTTCTTTAAATACATTTAGAAGTGAATTTCTAACAAATAAAAGGTTTGGGTGTGGACTTGAGCATGCAACTTTACCCTTTACAACTGACTAAACACCTTCAATAGGTTGAAGTTCACAATCATGGTATGGAGGGGTAAAATTAACTTCATGTTCATATTGTTCTGCAATGTTAACACAAGAAAATGGAACCTTTTCTTTGTTTATTTTAACCAGCTTTAAAAGTTCTGGTTTTCTTAATTCATCAGAAAAAGCAATATCATGAGAATTTAACCATTCAATTGTAATTTAGGACATCCAAGCATTTTGTGTGGTGTAAAAGTATCGTCTCTATGGCTTTTCCGGTTTGAAACCACCCTTCCAACTGTACTTTCCCCTGCCCAAACACCTCAGCAACACGCTTGCGTAATGTTTGACCTGATGATGATCCTCCTTTTTAGAGTTAGCCCCCAAAAAATATTAATTATCATCAACTTTTCGTTATCGGTTAGTGGTGCATTGCTTCATTTTGTAGAGAAACTATCCATGGTAGGGTAAAAAAATATTAGTAAAAATGTTTATACGAAGTCATTGTAATATATATATTTTTTCAGCCCATCTTGTTTTAGTCTTACGGTATTTTTCTTGGTGTAAATCCTTTCCTTATCGGGTGAGGTACCAATCTTTTTGCACCGGCCCATATCAAATATAAATATTCCTAAGTGTTATATCCAAAGGGAAACGTTTCACATATCTGGTACCTTAGTGTTTTGAGACGAGAATAAGATATAATAATTTTATGGGAAATCCATAGTTTTACTTTTTTGAACTTCATTACAACATTCTTTAGGCCTAGATTGCTAAGCCACCGCTCTTTTTATATTTATGAATGAATCATGTGCTTTACCATAATACAGAAATTGATAGGCTGATTATAGTCACCGGACTCTTGGGAATGCTACAAACTATATAAAGTGTATAATAGTTTGCATCGATTTCTTACATGTGTGAAATCTTGCATCAAATAATTCGAAACTTTATCTTTTGCTACAATTTCTTTAATAAAAGATCTCGATAAAAATAAACTAATTTTTCGGAATTATTTCCTCAAATTTGCGATACAGTAAATTCGAATGTCCATATATTTTACATTTTATAATCCTAACTCCCCTTTAAACATGAACTCTTAATTTGTCACCGTTGAATATTTATTATGCAATAATTTCAATGAACTAATACAATATTCATTACGACGTCCCGCTTCATTTAAAATTATTTTAATATACATTCTTAACTTACATAAGTAAGAAATTTTATTAATTGTATTTTTGAAAATTTTCACTACTTTTCATTATTATATTAATGGCAAAATACTCAGGTCCTTCTAGTCAAATTCTATGGAAGTCGTGTTCACATAATATCATTGTATATGTCTTAATCTTTAAGAAATTTTATCCAAATAAACTGTTGGTGAAATGACTTTCAGTGAAACGTTTGTCGGTGACCCTGTCATTAAAGGACGTTTGTCGGTAAAGCAATTGTCGGCCAGGTCTTTTATGGATTTATAACGCTTTTTATAGGCATTGAAATGAAAATACGTGGCATTTACTATAGTTTTGTATGTATTCCTTAAAAATATTTAAATACAGTATGTCCAAATATATATTATATAATAAAGAAAGTGAAATCTATCTTTTTATTATAAAATCAGATTCTTTTATAATAAATTCATATATGACTTTATAACTCAAAGCTCTTAAACGGATTACTAATTAAAATATTTAAAATGTTTATTTTTGAATCGTGCGTGAACTATCAATTTTTCGTGATTTTAAATTTTAATACTAGTTTTCTCAATAGCTAATAATTACTTAATTAAACATTTATTTTATATTGATCATACTTTTACGAAATATACAATAAAATAATTTTTTATTGTAAATAAAGTGTGTTATAATATTTATTTTATAAATAAATCCATTATTCCATTTTTATTATGTTACAAGATGTGTAATTACCCAGCTTACAAAAACTAGTTTATTTAATTATAAATTATACAGTTTTAACTACGCAAGCCAAGCTGTATAGAATTATTAAAAAAAAATCGACCATTTTTAATAAATAATAAGAAGAAATAATAACTTTAATAAACAGGAATGACTTTAATAAATAGGAAAAAGAAATAATGATGATGATAATAATATATATTTATAACATAATGACATGAAGAATAATATAAATTAATCAGAATCGCATTTTTTGGCACAATGGCAAAGAGATATGTAGTTAGGAGAGTTAGGAGGATACAAACAACAACATTTTTCATTTGGCTTACATTCTGGATTACAAAGAGCGAGAGCTGTTTTAATATGTATAATACAAAAAATGAGAAGAGTGAGATAAATAAATGAAATTAAATGTCTCGGATTCATAGTGAAATTGTATAATTATTATGAAGGAATTTGTTGTTAGAAGAATTAATCGTTATGGAAAAATCAAAGATGCAAAAGAGAACGTTCCGTTTAAAAGTTAAAAAAAAATCGAGACCCGTTTTATATCTACATTGGAACAACCATAATTAACAATAAAAGTTATTAGAACTCGGTCTTTACCCCTTATTACTGAAACTCCTTATACACTTTTGGATTTCATTTATTAATAAGAAATAATAGTAAATTATTCTTAGTATTTATTTTGAATCACGAATTAATTCGAAAAAATACAATAAGGAACTTTTCAAATTATCAGCTATGTTTCACGTTTGTTTTGCCGATTTTTAAAGAAATATGTAAATTATTTTGCTATAAAATGATAAACAGAATTATATGTACTACAGTAAAAATGAGAAAATCGGGATATCTGACAGATATTCACACCGTTGTAATGCCGTAACTTGCCTAGTAAATTTATTAATTGTGAGGCGCAGTATTATATATTTAAAATTAGTATATAAATTTTTCAGTAGTTTAAAATTGTATTTTAATTGGTCCGCAATGACATTAAAACTATGAATCAGATGAAGAAAGGATTAGATATCAGGTGGTTAACTGTTAATTTGTAGATCATGAAATTAAATTAAAGGATAATTTAATTGGTTACTGAATGATAATAGGATATCTGATATGGGTTAATTCGTAGATCATGATTGCACTTATTTTTGTGATACTTTACGATTAAGGAAATGAACTGTGAATAAACAATGATGAAAAAGACTGAAAAGTGTAGAGCAATGTTTTTCTGCTTTTCACTGAAGCCCATTTCACAGAAACTCATTTTGCCGAAGCAATTCCTACAGAGGGATGTTTCACTGAAGTGCCATTTCGCTGAATGGCCATTTTACTGAATGGCCATTTTATCAAATTACTTTTCTGACAATCATTTCACCTACAAACGTTTTACCGCACGTCTCGCCGACAGGTCACCGACAAATACGGTGTAATACCTAAGCCCGTGATAAGTCACGTTTGCCACCTTAGATATTAACAAAATCATACTTTATTAACAATATAAATAAATACAATAATATGCTTGGTTTAATAATATTAAATAAAGGTTAAATATTTATCCTAAAATTTCTTTCTATTTTCATAAGATCAAAATGATCTGCTATTTATAAGAATCTAAATATAGTAACCTGTCGAACTATTCTACACCTTATTGCTTCAAAAACTAAATAAACATTGCAGAAAAACGGTAACTACGAATTTTCACTCATACCGCCACACTTGGATTGTTTTATATAAAAAAGTCTCTCGGTGCGAAGCAACGAGTTTTATAAAATCTCATTTTATTTATTGCATAGTCAAATTACAAGAAAAAAAAATGGAATAAAAAATTTTTTAATTTATAATTATTATAATTATTACTTCAGTCCAATGAAACTGCCAAGGTCATATGTTATTATCCTTTTGTTTTTTTGCTACGCCTCATGGAGCAGTTGAATTTGTCTTCCTATAGTTTCAACATCTTTTCGATATAGTTTACATACAATTCTTCATGGCATTTTAATGAAAATTCTATTGTTTCAATACGTCTTATGTTTTGAAAAAATTTAAATATTTCAAAAAAAATTGTTAATAGAAGATCTTGTTTCGTTGTCGTTAAACACTTTTCGCGTGTAATATGACTTTTCTATATTCATTAAGAGTGGTAGAGAATTTTTTACTCGACTGTTTTTCTCAAAGATTTTTGGCCTAGTGCATCAGCAGAAAGTTTTAATTTAATTATAAGCTTCTGGAAAAGGTTAGTGTCTTTCTTTATTTACATAATCTTTTTTACATTATTCAGGACCTCAACTTCAAATATTTCCTGAAAAGAAGTCACTTGAATTACAGCATTAACAATACTTCATACATTATATTTATAGAAAAGTTGATACATAATATACGAAAGAAGTATGGCAGCCGCTTTAATATCATCTTGATGATTTACTGTATATATAAATCAATATAATAAAAATGTTTTACTTTATATCATTAAAAATTTACAAAATTTTTCAGTATTGAACTAAAAACTAAAAATAATAAAAAATTTTTTCGGTATTGAAAATAATTAAATTTTTTCGGTTTGAAAAAAAAACTAAAAAAATAAAGAAATACGAACTACAAAAAATGATTAAAAAACAATGAATAGTTCAGGCGCAGACATGTCACGCGTTTCCTTGTTACACTATAGTGAGCATTTTTTTTTCCCAATTATGATATGTTGAGCCCAAAGACTGTATCAATGGATTCATTTAAAATTCCTAAAACGGCGTAAACGCTGAAATTCTTTTTTTTTTTTAAAAAAAAAATAATAGTATATGATAACATAAAATAAACATAAATGATAAAATGACTACGGTAAAAGAATGGGTTGAAGAAATGGATATATCCGTTATTTGAGCAAGATAAATTTAAAGTGAAAATATTTATATTATGTTAATTATTCATTTTATCTTCTTTAACTGTTAAGAATGGTTCTAATTTTTGTGACATTTGTGATATTTCTAATTGTTCAACATCATTTGCCGCATTTGTATTAAGTTTTAATAATTGCTCTTTTATAAGCTTCCTATTTGATATAATGTGTCTTATATAGTAATTTCTTAATTGTTGTGCATTAAAATCTTCCGAAGATATTAGAATTTTACATAGATTACGAACACCAATATATCGACCTTTAATAATAGTATCTTCTACTTTATCTTTCAGCGTTTCAACGTCATAAATATCAGTTACTTGTAACATATTAATAAGAAATAATAAATATTGATCTGTTTTAAAATCATCTGGCTTACGTAAAACAGATTTTACCGCATCTTCAAAAGTTTGTCCATATAACCATCGAAGTAATATCCAAAATATATCCGGATGAATACCTTTTATTGAAACCTCGATTTCATCCCTTGATGATTCACTTAAACCACTGTAGAACATTCTTTTAAAATATGAAGAAGCCGCTGCGTGAAAAAAAAAAAAAATATTATTTGAGGGAAATATGTATAGTACTGTATATATAAGCAGGAAAAAAAATATTAATTTAACGAACCTGAAAGCACATATCTGTTAGCACCAATTTTTTCTTGCTCTTCATCAAAAATGAAAAAAACATCATGATATTCATTGTTAGATTGTTTTATGAGTTTATCTAATAAATCATTAACCAATATTTCTTTTTGATCAACTTTTGCATTTTTTTCTGAATTTTTTATCTTTTCTAACTCTTCTAACTCCTCTATATTTATCTCATAAGCTCCCGTAAGCAATAATAGATCTTTATATGGCATTAAACATGTTTGAACTTTGTACATTCCCTCTTTAATATCTTCTTGTATTCCAAAAACAAGCTCCTTTCCTGCTACCCAACTTTTTTCGTCTAATGGATCATCCCCATTTAAGAACAATTTCTTGTCAGAATCATTAAATTTTAATTTAATCAACCCTTTCATAACGTCATCATGCGAAAATTCATTCATTATTTTATATATTTCTTCCATTACGCTTTTTATATCTGAAGACTTCCAAATATTTTTGGATTTAATTTCTTCGATAAAAAAAAGCCAATGTTTAATAATTTCTTCTAAAGATGGTTTTCCAATAGTTGAATATCGTTCACAAAATGAATTATCCGGTTCAACACTTCTTTCAAATAAAGGTCTTTGAGTCCAACATACTTCCTTATATCTTTGAAAACAAAGAACTGCAAAATTTTCATATCCTAAAGTTTCTTTTGCTTCCTCTTGAAATGGACTCTGAAGACACTTTTCTGATGGAATGAATTTGATATATATAATTTGGTTCCATTGATCGTTTGAAAACATAAAATTATTTGTATATAAATAATTTATTAAATATTTTGCTCGAATTTTGACTACATTTATTGGAAATTTATCCGGTTGTTGAAATTGAGATTCAATCTCTCGTGCACATTTAATAAATGTATCACAATTTGCTCTGCGATTAAGCCCGATTCTTCCTAAAGCTTCTAAACAAACAGAATCGTTTTGTAATTCTGGCGGTATAAATTTGTCGGTGTCAAAAATGTTGTGAAATAAAATTTCATCATTGTCATATAAAGTATCTGCTCTCGCGAAAGCAGTAAGTGATTTGTTAGGTACCATTTTAAATTGTTTGAAATAATCAATATTATCTAAAGATAAAAGCTTTTTCAAGAAAGTAATATAGTCTTGAGAAGGTACAAAATTTTCCAAATCTGGTACTATATAGTTTTTAAAATAGTTTAGTTCATTCATATAAGTTGCTTCTAATGATTGTTTTTGGCGTAATTTAATAAGCGCATTAAAATCTGATTTACTATCACATCTATAGAAATCAGTATTTTTATGGAAAGAAAAAAATGGCAACCTGCACGTAAGAAGATTTCCAGATGTGGCGTCAATGAATTTTCCTCCTTTTTCATTGGAATGTATTGGCCATATGGGTAAAGATCGAAGTATGTCCATAAAATTTTTTTGTTCTCGTCCATGTTCTATTGGGATAAATAATAAGATATCAAATCATTTCCATTAAAATAATCATTTTTGCAAACAATCTTATTTACCTATTAAAGATTGAAGTTCATTTTTAATATATCTTCTAAAATTATCGTAATCGGACAATGATAGATTACCAGTTTCGAACAGCTGCTCCATAGACTTAAATAATAATGAACAAGATACCTTCAAAGAATTAATTACGTTTAAAGGAGTACAACTTAATGTACATTTTTTGAAATATTGGTGAGCGTTATCAGGAAATTTCAAATCAGTAAAACGAACTTGTAGTTTTGATAGTATTTGATATAAATAATGACCATTGTCAGACACATATAAAACTGGATCTTTTATATCAAGTCGAATAAGTTTGGAAGGTTGAATCACTGGCAAAAGAGGATATTTTGAAAGTCTAGTAAATTCTCTTTCTTCTTTCATTTTAATTAATATTGACCAAATCTTTATAAGCCAATCATAATTTGGTATAGAGTTTCCGTATGGATCCCATGGTCTTTCCTTTGAAGGCCGTAATTCAAACATTAAAAGATCTAAGAGAGCCGAAGCATCAAATTTTTTGATATTTGTGTATGCGGAGAAATCTTCTTTATTAAATATTTTGATTAATTTCTTTGGTAAATCAATAGAAACAAATTTTGGTGGACCAGTACTCGGGAACAAATCTAGATGTTCTTTTTTTCCAATATAATAGACATCACCAAACTTTCCAACAGAACCATCACTCAATGGAACTAACGGTAGTCCAGTAAGAAATTCATAAGCATTTTTATCTTGTAGAATAAAATCAAGCAATTTGAATAATGAAGTATGATTAAGATTATAATCAGAAATCCCGCATAATATTTCACAAACTGATTCTCCGGTGATAGGCTCATATAGGAAATTTGAAGGGTCGCCAGATTCAAAAATTTTATTCAATTCTTCGATTTTATTTTCATCAAGTATTACAACCGATACTCCCAGACTAATTAATATATCTGCAATTTCATTTTCTGGCTCAAAAATTTTAGCATCCTCTAAAGAAATGAATTCCCCGTCATTAGCCTCAGTCCAAAATATTCTATGATTACCACAACCTAGTTTTTTAATAACATTCAAACCATAATTTTTGTATAGTACATCAATTATTAAATCATTTTTAGTCGGCCAAAGATTGTTTATGGAAAGTGGAAAGTAACTAGTTTCTTGTTTTCGTCTATTTTCTTCAAGATCCACAATATAGTCAAGTAATTTGATGTGCAATTCAGGTAAAACTTCGTATAGAATATACATATCCCAATTTATATCATCACAATCAACTTGCGGGAAATTATTTTCAGGTTGTAAAATATTACTCTTTGCAATCGATAAAGTAAAGTCTCCCTTCAAGTGAACTCCTAAGTTTGTACTTATTGGCGGAGACAAATGAGAATAGATTTGACCCTTAAGCTTAAGTGGATTTAGAAACTAATATGAAAAATCAATATATTTTTAATAAATTAATATTTGATTTCAAAAAAAAAAAAAAAAAAAATTAACTACCAATTCGGTTCTTAATTCATCAAACGATTTTGTATCGGATTGAGCGAGCAAATAAGCTACTCCACCTCTTGGCTTTTTTTTTTTTTAAATTAATAAATTAATTATTTAAATTTAATATATATTAATAATTAATGTAAATGCTTGTTTTTTGAAATTTACCTTAAGTCGGTTTTCCCTCGAAAATTTTTTAAGTCTATCTTCAAGTTCTCCTGACATTGGTTTGATCTTATTGTGTTCTCCCGTACATATAGCCCATATTTCCGAAACTTTTTTGTTTTGTACAAAATTCATTCTTTCGATATATGATTGGTATATTTGTACATCACAAGTGCTATCAATCATTTTTCGGTGAGAATTATAATAACTATCAATATCAAATTGAACATTATGATTTTTCACATGATATAAACTACATGATTCTATATTCCTTAGAAATAGCATCTCGTTATTATCCAGAATATTATTGAATGTTTTCATAATTTTATTTATATTACTTATGGCATTACTTGATATACCACTATTTTTTGCTAATTCAGGAATCTTAAGAGGAAGTCTGAACAAGGTTCCCTTAAATTCTTTTGACATGTCACAATCTCCTACTGAGTATTTATCAGGAAAATTTTTCTCAATGAAATAAAATATTTCTTCATATGGATAGCATTGTTCTGGAAAACTACTCTTAAACTTTTTTTCAATAAAATCTATTTGAACACCATTTGGTCTCTTAAGAGGAAATCCTGACAGTGGAAGAAATTTTGCATGTGGATCTAAAAATACGATATACCTCCCACTTACAAAGCTCAGAAAATCTGTAATATGGAAAGCACAATTAAGACTTCTAATGTCAAGGTTTATTAAAGACTTAAAGCTATCGTCTGTAAGCTCTACATCATTATAAATCCATATCGTAGGACCTTGAATTTCTTCTGATAGGAATGATTTTTTAGAAGGCTCATGCTGCCTTTCATCTACTATTATTAAAAACTGTTTGGCACCAGCATCATCTGCATTCTATACGGAGAAGAATATATAAATCCTTGCGATATAATTTAATTCGAAAAAAAAAAATAAAAAATAAATTTACTTCAAACTTACTTGAAGAAATTCTTTAAATACGGAGTTTATAGAATAGTCCTAATAGTATGAAGCATTTAGTCACATGTTATAATAAAAATTGAAGGTTAAATTAAAAAATTACCTTGACAATATTTTCAATCCTAGTAGTTAGAGATTCGATTTGGCCATATATTTCCCTTACTAGATATAGTATTTGCATTATATATAAATAATAAATTTAAAGAAATTAGATTGAAATTTAAAATTTATAATTTAGTATAGTTACCAAATACTGTTCCCTTTAAAGTTTGAATCCCTAATTTTTCGGTAATGTCTTGAGTTATAGAATCATGAACAATTTCATAATTGCTTTTCTCTTCATCGCTAAATCTACTCCCCATATCATCAAAATAAATTTCACGAAAGTTAACAAGTACATTTTTGTCGTTTGGAATCAACAATCCTTCCAATTCATCCGTATCATTTTCATTTCCTTCACTCCTATTATCCTTTCGTATCCTAGCGATTTGTTCAAGAATCATAATAACATTACTTATTTCACGTGTGTCTAAGATTCTATTTTTATCCTCTTTGACTATACTTTTAATAAATTCAACTAAATCTTTTACTCCAACTCTGTCTCGAACTCCCATCTTCTTAAACAAATCTACAAATTTATAATATTCTAAGGGAAGTTTAACAATTAAAGAATCGTTATTCTGAAATTGGTCAGGAAGGTTAACGACAACTTTATCACTTGAATGAAATGATTTTCCGCACAAAATCCATGGTTCATTTCTTAAGGATTCGATCATAAAACGAAGTTCTTCATTAGTACTTTCACCAGGAGCTTGAGAAATTGAAATTTCATTCATATATTCATAAATCGTGATACAAATAGATTTTCTCTCATTTGGTGAAGCCACACTATCGCGACATAATTTCAATTGTCTTAGAACAGTTTTAACATCTGGATAAACGTCCCAATCAAAAAAATCTATAAAATTATTATTCTCAAGATTATATTCCAGAACAGGTACAGTCAAGCAAACTAGATTTTTATACTTTTCACAATAACAATCTTCAGCTTTCGAAAAAAGCTTGTTACCAAATTTGTCGACCGTAGGGATCCATTCTGCTTTTAAAATAGATTCCAATGTTGCATTATTAAGATTGTTAGTCATAAGAGTTAACCGATCCCAATTATCATCGATGTATTTTAAAAGACTAAATGCTTTGGCATGGACTAATTCTTCATTGGAAGTTTGCTTTCGTGTCATGATAACATCAATTCGAGAGATTATATCGTTTAGAGTAAGAACTGATTTAATTCCCAACGATTTCAGAATTGGAAGGTACTTTTGCGGGTTGCCGAATTTACCAGCAGGAAAAAGTTGTTCATCATCAAAAAATAAATCAGTTACTGCCTTTGCTTCTGGATCAAATAGTTCTGTTGGCTTAGCTAAATTTATAAGATCAGTTGATTGATGTTGTTGCGACATATTAAGTGTAACAGCAGGTACAAAAGACCTTCCTCCAAGATCATTCTTTAAGTCAGCATCAAATAAAGATGGTAATCTATCAAAAAGTTTTTCAACAACTATATCTATATTTCTTGGTATTTGTAATTCGAGGAATGGTATTACAAACATTCGCCAATAATCATATATTGCTAATCGAGGAATTTTTATAATATCTTCCAATATATAACACATGTTTTGGGAGTTTGAATTAATAAATCCTCCCTCATCACGTGGATAGATAATCTTGCCATATGAATTTTCTTCATCTCGAGGTAGGAGATACCATTTTTTATTTTTAGGTAGTGATGGTAATAATGGAATTGGTGAAATATGATCAACTTCAGTAAAAATTGGAAGATGTTTAATAACATCAATATGTTTTTGCATAAGATTATTTTTATTAACAAGTCGCAAATAATTAGATAAATGTTCTACGACTACCGATGCTTCATTAATTTGTAACTTTTCTTTCAAATTCTCTGGATATGATGTATTAGCTTGAAAAGAATCCAGAACCGATATAATATTATTAGGCTTAATAATATACGGTGATACTCTAATGATATGAAAAGAAGTTTTTTTTTTAGATTATTTTATGATAAAAATGCTATTTACGGATAAAATACTCACTTATTCCATTCCGAAATTTGGTTAGTATCAAATTCATTGTCCACGAAAACAGCACCAAATTTTTCGAAAATTGAAATTAAAGAATTGGTTTGAATATATTTACTAGTAAAGGTCTTTCTAGAAGTCTTTAGCTTTCTAAGAGTAGAGCGATTTGTTGGAATTAAATGGATATCTTCAAACTTTGTTAAATCCCAATTTCTGTATCTTAAGTTATTCCATAATTGATAAATCCATTCACAATGATTTGGCATTTGTATCTCTTCAAAACTTTCATTTTCTGCAAAATTCAATGAGGTTTTGATCATATCAGCAACGGCTAATTCATCTAATATTTTGATATTTAGATTCCATCCGGCATTTGCATAATTATACAAACATTTATATAATCTGAAATCAATTGATTTATCAATGAATTTGTCTAATTGATTTGTGAAGATATTACGTTCATCGTTTTCATGATTCTTGATGTCATTATCTGGACCAATATATACATAAGAATTGCCAAATTGTGTTAAAGTACCAAGATTTATACCATCCGCGAGTGGAATTATTTTGAGTCCTTCTAATTCACTAAGATTTTGATTATTTAATTCTTTTAATATATATTCGAATAATAGTAAGGTTTCTTTTCTTGATAGTATATTTTCCCATTTAGCACGATTTTTATTCAAATAAATACGAATAATAGTTGGTGAAAAAAACTTGAGAGATTCTTGATGTTTAGAATTTTTTAATACTCTGATGATAGGATACAAAGTTGATATTACAGGAAATCCTATATTAGCAATTATTTTAGATATGTTGAAATTAAATAATTTTTCGTCTTCCAAATAGCCATTAGAAAGTGAAAGCCAATTATCACAAAATGGACCTTTGAATACGCGATCTTCTATATTGAGACAATTTGTAACATTTTGTAAAAGATCCTTACAAAAGATACCTATGTTACCCGATGTACCCCCCTCCTTGACTATTGGCCAAAATTTATATAAATCATCTGATTGAATATTGGGAACTTTATGTGGAAGTTCATGAAGGAATTTTACCCAAGCTTTGGGTAAGACATTTTCAAATAAGTATTGATTCCATTTAGCCTTTATACGCGCCAACGCATCGTCCGCCTAAAAGTTAAAAATAGTTAATATGTAATTATTTTACTTTATTCTATTTAATTTTTAATAAATATTACCAAATCTTCATTTTCAATAGGTGACCATAAAGAACGTCGATTAGTGCTAACCTGTTAGACATATAAAAATTTTTTTTTTTTTTTTAGCATTAAAATCGTAACTGCAATAAAATACGAACAATAAAAGCTCATATACAGTACATACCGCAAAATATCCATGCACGGAAACGGGAAAGGGCATATAAATGGGAAGAGGTAAAAAACAAAATAATCTTCCAATAACATTTTTAAAATCTTTTAAAGGAACGGCTAAACCAACGTTAGGAATAAATTTGTATAAATCTATTTTACTAAAGTTCTTTTTGGTATCAAGTAAGTCATCAAGGTAATTTAGAATTAACCATTCTGAATTAGGTTCTTTAATATCTCCTTTCTGACGATAGAATGATGCGACATAGGATGTTACTAATTCTTTTGAATTGGTCGAATTCATCATCGATGCGATACTTTCACTTATTAAACAACGTTGTTTTCGAACTTGATCTGCATTTTCTAATCGAATTTTATATAATAACTCGGGTTCATCGGCGCCTTTTCGTAATACATAAAAAGAAATACACTCTATATATTTCAAAAATAATAAACAATTAATGCTTTCATGTTCGTAAAATTTACGAAACATGTCCAAAATTTCTTTAGGTTTATAAACTTTGTTAGAAATATCCGAATCGGTGGAATCACGAAGAGGATAACGAAAGATAGTTCCTTTAAATGGTTCTTTAAATGGTCTATTACATCGCAAAATCTTTTTGAATGGAGCAAATTGGTCTGGAAAACCTTCAGCCAATTTCTGACGTACAAAGTCGAATTGAATACCACCATTAAAATGCCTTTCGTGTGGATCAAGAATAACGTACTTGTTACCAGTAATAAAGGAAGGAGAATCGGTAATATGATAAATTGAATTAAATCCAATTCCCATAACTAAAAATATGCTATTTGTTAATAACTGAAACGTGATTGTTGTGCAAACTCGATTTTAAAATGAATTTTTTTTACCTCCGATCTTATCAAATTTTTTGCGTTTTTTACTATCAGCTAAGTTGAGCAAAGATTTGAAATCATCATCTTCGAATATAGCAGTATTTTTTGATATGAGTGCAGGACCTTGATATCTGTTAAGTTGTGGTTTAAACAATTTATTTGATGGATATTTATTAAAATCCAAAATAAAAATTTGCTCAGTACTTTGAGCATCATCTGAATTCTGAAGAATTTCACGTAATATTTGTGAACCATCAGGATATTCTTCAAGAATTTTACGTAGACGACTCGTGTAAGGTTCTTTTGGCTTGAAATCTTCACCTAATGGAAAATCCATGAATTTTAATAAAATTTATTGAACTTTAAAATATTTGGACGAGGTGAAAAATTATAATTTTGAACATGCCCGTCAATCTATATTAAAGTCAAAATGAGTCAATACTGACGTAATAGTAAACAATTACGCCAAGATTCCAACAACAGGTTTTATGTTTTTATTCTATGGAATTCTATGGGAATAAACATTATTGCCATTTTCAGAATGGGCTGATTTGATGTCAATCATCGCAGCAGTATATGTTTTAAGGGAAAAAAAAGTTTCGTATGTGAAAAAAATTGGGATCGGCATAGAAAAATAATTATAATAAGAATAGGGCGCAATTTAGTTCAAAAAAATGGTTAAAATGATGTTTGATTAGTATCATAGTATCACGATAAAAGTTTCATGACATCATTTTATAGTAATAGAGTAAAAAATCTCTAAATCCTCTAATTATGATATTATATACTGTACATATATTTTAACAAACATTTCATAAATACTTTAAAACAATACTGTATCATTGGTCATTTACTCATCCTAACTTATCGTCATAATTTTTGAAATTCTGTATACATAAATAAATAAAAGGATATAAAATTTAATTTATATTATTATTTTTAAAAGAAACCAAGTTATAATTTGATCAATACTCGCTAAAAAATGGGTGAATACGAGATATTTTATTATAAAAAACTTTTTTTAGATATTTAGTTTAGATCTAATATTAAAATATTGATACTTACTTCCATCTTAGACGGGTTAGTAGTCGATAGAATCACATATATAGTTATATTGTATTTTTATTATTATTTCATTAAAGTAATAAAAGAAATGCGCGTTACTAACAATATATAAACTGATCATCACAACAAAACATTAATATAGTAGTTTTTTTGTATTTTATTAAATCTAACAAAGAAATACGGGTTACTAACAATAAAAATTCTCTATTTAAAATATTTATATTTAATTTTATATATATGTCGGTGAAACGTTTGTCAGTGAAATTCTAACGTAACTCTTCAATCAAAAAACACATTTTTTCTATTAAAAAAAGATTCTTGCCTATTAAAAAAAAATTCTCTTAAGAACTTCTATATCAAAAAAAAAGTCACCTAATTATCTATCGAAAAAAAATCTCTCCTATTAAAAAAATATTTTCAACAAAATTATCTATCAAAAAAAATCTCCTCATTAAAAAAAAAAAATTTTAAAGAAATCTTTTTTAAAAAATCCAATTTAATAAAATCTATATAACTAAAAAAAATACATAAAAAAATCGTAACGTTTAGACTAGCGTGTATAAATAGGTTTGAATTGTGTAATATATTTTCTGCTTGCGCCTAATCTATTCCATGTTAGCGTTCTTTATTTTCTAGATTATTAGGTTAATATCGGTAAGTTCAAGGTATGAATTCCGAATTGCAGATCATCAATATTGTTACCGAAGTTAGATCATTTGTTAGATCATTTTTTCATTTTTTGTTGATTATTAATTTTATCCTGGATCGGTATTTTTTTTTATAGACTAAACCCAATTTTTTTACATATATATAACACTTTTTTTTGTTATTTGATTTTTTTTTAAATACTTTTTGACTTGTTTCGATTATAACAATTATTTGATAAACGTTATTATTTTTTTTAATTAAAATACTATTTTTTGGTTTTTTTTTTACATAAATTTTTTTATAAAATAATAAGAAATAATTATAAAATTTATAATTAATTAATAATAATATTTGTAATATTTTTCACAATATTAAAATTTTTTCGAAAATACTTCTAAAAAGTTAATCAATTTTTATTGATAATTATTTTTTCACAATTCCTTAATTAATACGAATTTCATTCTACACTTAAACGTCAAATCTTTAATATAAATAACTTACATTGTTGTAAATATAATTGGGAATTGCTAAACGTTGCCTGAGTGATTTGTCGCCTGGATTTTTTTTAAATATGTCACATGATGTACAATATATAAAGAATAAATTTATTGATCTGATTTTTTCAAACTTAGCTAGGCTAAACTTAAAAATTTTATCGCAAACATCTATTTTTAAAAAAAATTTTTTGCAAGCATATTTATCCAAAATAATCTTATCTAACAAAATTTTGTAAATATTAAATTTTAAATCGCACATTTACGATTTTAAAGAAAAAAATCACGTATTTTATTTTTTAATGAAGTGATACAAATAAAAGAAAAGATAAGTAAATTACAATGATCAAGAAAAAATATGCTAATAAAAAATAAAATAACAATGGAGTAATGAGAAGTAATAGAAGATGAAAGGGAGTAAAAAAGAGTAATGAGAAGTGTTAGGAAGCAAAAAGGAGAAATGAGTAATAGGAAGATAAAGAGGAGTGATGGAAGACGAAAAGGAGTGATGGGAAGATGAAGAGGAGTAATGAGAAGGTGAAGAGGAGTGATGGGAGACGAAAAGGAGTGATGAGAAACAAAAAGAAATGATGGGAAATAAACAGGAGAGAAAAAGAAATAATGGAAAATGAAAAGATGTAATAGAAAATAATGGGAGACGAAAAGAATGGAATAATAAGAAGTAATAGGAGGTGAAAAATGATGAGAGATAAAAAAATAAAAAAATGATCATGATAGGAGGTTGGGTAGCAAAAGATAATGATAGGAAACCAAGTAAAAAATAAACCATAAAGTAAAAAAAATGAAGTTAGTAAGAAACGAAATATAAGATAGAAACAAAATAAAAAAAATAAATAAGAAATAAAAAACATACCTTTATTAATTGTAGAACTGAAAGAACTAAAATATCTAAAAAAAAATGAAATAAATTAGTGAAAAACGAAATATGAAACAGAAATAAAATAAAAAAAAAATGAAAAAATGAAAAACAACTGAACCTTAATTGCAGAACTGGAAGGACTAAAGGATGTAAAAATGATGAAATAAAGTTAGTAAGAAACAAAGTGTAAGCAGAATGTAAGTTAGAAATGAAAATAAAAGAAAAGAAAAATACCTTGAGACCAAAAGAACTGAGAAACGAACCTATACTGAAAACAAGATTCAATAAACAAATAAACATGACGCGATCATGTGGCCAATTAGCAATAAGAGTAACGTAAAGTATTTACCAAAAAAATTTACGTTCCGTACCTTATATAAGAGAAGTAACGTAATAGATCATGTGACTTTACGTTACTTACTTAGCCAATTTCCGTTACTTACTTTCTATATATTCAAGAATAATTAGGAAAAAAAATTATTATTAAAAATAAGGATCGTGCTTACCGTAACATCGCAGTGTCAATCCGATTACTGATCTCGATTTAAGTCTAAAAAATAAAATAAATAATAATGTACTATATAACAATATATAAATATAGTATAGATTATAAAGGAAAAAAAATTCGGTTTAAAAAAAACCAAATCGAAAAAGAAAAATGAAAAAAAAATTTAGGGTTTAGAAAAAAAGCCGAACCGAAGGAAAAAGTTTAAAAAAAAGTTTAAAAAAATTCGAAAAAAAATTTCGGTTTTAGAAAAAGACCAAACCGAAAAAAAAGGTTTAAAAAAATATCGGTTACCCAGATTTTAAAATAAAAAAAAAAATCTAAAAACCGAAAATTTTTTTTGATATCTGCAGTGATACGATCTTCTCTGCACTGCAGCCCATCAACTCGTCCTGAGAAGATACTAGAGAATGTGAATTTAAAGATAATCCCCCGGAAATAAATTCATAAATATTTATACAAAATATATTACTAATAAGGAAGTGCAACTTTTTTCGTTAACATTATAAGGAAAAAACCAATCAAAATTTCATTAACCGGAACTGGATTAGCCACACAAATCTCACTTATTGGCCATTGGAACTTACACATGATCCAATAGTAATATCCCGGGTTTTCCTGTTACACAATTCAAATGAGGGCGTCAGAAGAATGTTTTTTAGTTATAAGTTCAATTAAATTCTTACAGTAGGTAACTTCTTACTTCTTAATTGTTAAAAGAAAAAAAATCATTTTAAATTTATTCAGATAAAAAAAAACTATCGCTTTTAATAATAACCGATTTAAAAATTATTTACTTCTTTGCCATGCTTAATAATCCTTATAACTTAAATAATTTTTTTTTAATCATGATATCAGAATGCTATTTGTCAAGCATTTTGCTTTCTAACGTTTGTAATCAAAGTTGAACGCCTCTTTTTAACACAAAACCCTCTCAATAAATTATGTATTTTTAATGTATTTTTAATAAATATATATACTGTATATCATATATATATTTTTGCATATTTGACCGATCATAATAATTTCCACTAAGATACATTCAAATTGTCTATTCAAATAATTTCAATTGAATTATATTATTAAAATAATTAAATAAAATTTGACGAGAGAACTATCAATAAAATAATAAATCACTTTAAATAAATTATTTTATCTGATTCGCTAAATTTTACAATCAAAACATTCTGAAACTAACAAAACAATGTTAAAATAAAATATAAATTATAATACAAAAAGTATTAATGATTATACTTACTTAGAGTCTCTGATACTGATGGGACATCATCTATTATTAATAAAGATTGTTATTGTCAAAACTTGAATAAGATTTTTTCATAATTAAAATTGAAGATTATACCTGAATTAACTTGAAATGAGGATAAATCTGATGAATTTACAGGTTCTGGAAGATTTTTGAAACTTAAAAGTCTACTCGTATAGATTGCTTGAGGATGAATTTTAATACTTTCAAACTTATCTTCATTTGACCTGGTTTTGAATTTTTCTTCTCTAGTTTTATCATATTTTTTTATTTGAGAATAAATTTCACTATTTTGATTATTGTTATAATACCATTCTTTTAGTATTTGATACAATTCTTTAATGGTTGGTCTATTTTCTATTTCAGCATCCCAACATTTTATTATCAAATCTGCAAGTAACTTTGGTATGTCTTTAGAAATTGTTGGTCTAAGTCCTTTACATATTTTAATAGCTAAAAATTCATCATGAGGAATATCATTAAAAGGAATTTCTTCAGAAAGAAATTCGTTCATTATTATTCCAAATGAGTAAATATCTGCTGCTTTTGTATATTGGTATCCACGTAAAACTTCTGGTGACATATATGGTAATACTCCATAAATTCTTTCTTCTTTAACTGTTTGTTTTATATTCACTGGTTGACACATTCCTAAATCACTTATAAATGGATGATAACTAAATAATATATTGCCTGAATGAAAATCTTTGTGAACTTTTTCAGCATTATGAATATCTAAAAGTCCTCTTGCAATTTGTTGTAATTTGTCAATTTTCGATTTATAATTAATATAATCATTAGATTCATTTAAATAATTTCTCAAGTTTCCATCTTCACAATATAATAAAACCATCATATACTCTTTATTATTTGGATCCTGAGTAATTCCATAACATCGAACAATATCATCAAGATAAATCTGAAGATGAGATTTAATCTAATTATTATCAAAAAGGAAAAATTTAATTAATAAATAAATGCAAATAACAAACTTTATATATTAAGACAAAGTAAGTTTAAAATACCTCATTTAAAAAATCTGAACATATATTAGAAGAATTATTCAAACTTTTTAATACATATTTATCAAAATGTTTGAATCTAAACCATTTTTGATTTTCAATATCCCAATATGTAATATGTCCTTCAGGCCATTCAGCAGAATAAATCTTACCAAAACCACCTTCTGCAATATAAGTGATATTTTGAAATTTTTTAAGAGGTATCCATTCAAGACATTTAGTATAATGTACAGCATTAAGTTGTGATTGTTGTATAAATTCATCAATAACTTTATTTCCACAAGTCCAATTTTTAAAGTTACCTTTAAATCTTTTAGAATTACAAGGTTGACACCATCTATATCCTGTGCCAGGTTCTTTACATTCTCCACATATTCCATATGCTTGTCTTCTTTTTTCTAAATCTTCTTTATAAACTACTCTTTCATCTACATTTTCTGATTTAATAGTTGAATCAATAGAAGAAATTGTAACATGGAGCTTTTAATAGACAAAAAATTATTAACATTTTTAATTACAAAATTCAATAAAATAATTATAATTATTAAAAATATTAAATTGATATTACCTGATATTTATTAACATCAGTAACCTTCCATAAGTCTTTTGGCTTTTCATACATATTAATTAATTTGAGTTAATTATAATTTTAAATTTTAGTTATATAAACAAATAAATATTACTTATTTGTATTACTGTATACAAAAATTACTATTTTTGTGACTAGTGTTCCAATCCGCGGATCATCAGTCATCCGTCACATCCGAGAAAATTTCATCCGTCAGATAATCCGTCTCACATGATTACTATTGATCAGCAGTAATTCAGGCCAATTTATAATCCTGGCCTGAATTATAATTAATTTTCTTTTTAAAACGTTGTGTTACATAAATTTCAAGTTGGCTTCGGATCAACAGATGATCCAACTTCATGACTCATCAGATGACGAGGACCCAAGAATATATATAAAAGGGTCAAGTGAAATCTTTCCTTTTTTAGTTTCGATCGTTGATATCTTTTTATGTACCTTGCCGACTTCACATAAAATAAATAAATAAAATCTTTCCTTTTTTAGACAATTTTTAATAATACCAGTCAGAATTTATTTCTTATTATAATTACTGACTGACATTATCATAATTCCGGCGCGTACAGCTCATAGTAAAAATTTTTTTCATCACCTGATCCCCATTCGTTTGACCCATTACTATATAATTATTATATCAGAGTAAATATATATAATTTTATTAAACACCTTGCTGGAAATCGGTCAAAATTAAAAGCCAATAAAATTATTGTTACAACGCGTATCATACACATACAGTAAATACAGTAACTGTCCTAATAAAACTTATCTATTAAAATATAAATAAAAAATTGTTTATTAATACTTGTTTTACTTGTTTAGCTCTATAAAATTAAATAAAATTAAAAGTATAACTTAAAAGTCAGCCTTCAATTTGGTTTTACTAATATCCGGTATACCGATATCCCATTTTTAAATCAATTTTGAAACAGAACTGATTATACAGTAAAAAAAAAAAGTTCCTGTTATGACCCGCATACTGTACATTTTGAAAATTTTACAGTAACATAATGTAGTTAAAAAATTTTATAGTTTTTCTTATTTTCTTGTTTTACGCAGTAAATTTTAAGATTTTCGCTTTGGATCAGCGTTAAGTGGAATACTAGAAGGAACGTGACAACACACCAACTTACTTTATTTATAATATTTATTTATTTGTTTTTATACAAGAAGAGTAGTCAAAGAAAATAAGTCAAAAAATAACTACAATAACGACGGACATAAGCAAGATTACATTTTTTTAAACCACCGTTCACCATATTGACAATCCCACCCTTCGAAAATGAAAATCGAAATGACACAACTACAAAGAGCGTAGTCGCTATTGTAAATTTATTTACAAATGGCGACTAAAAAATTACGGGAGGCAGCAAAATAATTGAAAGAAGAGTTCAAAAAACGTAACCAAGAGCTATTATGTAAGAAATTATTTGGCGACCATTGGATCCAGAATTGTGGATTAGGTGGAGGATCGTACAGAGAGTAATATTTAAAAGTGTTAATATTTCAGCGCAAATTTGGTGCTGAAACGCGTTTTGGTGTGCATTTTGGCGTTGTCTGAAGCCGCGTTTGGAGTTGTAGAATATTCCATTTGTTTGAATAATTCACAATGTAGTTTCCAAATATTTTGATATATATCAATAGTGAGGTTAATTAGGATTTAACGACGCATACTATGATGCAAAGATAGTATATACGTCATGTTGGGATCAGGTATGACAGATTAAATTAACCGTCGGTAATGATATAGATGTTACGAGTGGAAGTCCATTTAAAAACGGGCCGAGTCTTTCAATAAAATGGATAATTCAAGGACCCCGAAAAATACATATGGAGGTCATAAATGATCGGCAAGATTTTGGCCTAAAATAAGCAATTTTTCAGGGCCGGAATTATGATAATGCTGGCCAGTATCAAAACGGACAATAAAATTTAGGCCGGCACTATCTAAAAAAGGCAAGATTTTCATGAAAATTTTGGTTCTTTTTAAGCAAACTCAAATGTGACCTTTTTATGTATTTTTCGGGGTCCTATAATTCATCACAATGTTGCTCAGTAAAATCTTTTGTTTTTCAAAGATGTCAGCTAATATTTGACCAACTTAATCCTAGTTATTGAGATTTTTGTCGTTATCGTTGTCAAAGAAGGCTTTGTTTACATTGTGCAGGAACCAAACAAATTTACATCATCGGTATTCGGTACATTATCGGTAATACAAAAGATCGATGTTTTAAACTTTGTAGGAGTTTGCTACATAGTCCTGCATAGTATCACGTAGATGATTTTGCAATCCGTCTGATGTTTTTTTTTAAAAAAAAATTTCTAACGCTAAGAAATATAAAATACTTGTTTATTACTTACATCCATTATCTTCTTGTCTAAAACGAGTTACCAAAAAAAATTTTCGTTACCGGAAATTACTGTTATTGTTTATAATTTTCTTTAGCTTACATAATTAAAAATATTACCGGAATGGAATGGTATCAACGTCATCCTAATTAGTATCTTAATAACGTGATAATTATTTGAAAATGATTTAAGTTACACAAAATCTTGGTTTTGATAAAATATGACGTGATGTATATAATGACGTGAGAATCTTACTCATTACAATCAATCATGATTCATGATTTTAAGTAATACATGATTAAAATACATAAAATAGCTATTTTTCTCTTTATTCACTTTAACCCCTCTTTCCTTTCTCTTTCTCGTTTTTTTTTTCTTTTGTTTTTTTGTTAAGTATGGTAAGAGGTAAGGTACAACCAACTCCGTATCACATTTTAAAACCGACCGACGCCACGTTGAAAAAGTTGAAAAAACCCGTTAAAAGTTAAACCATACTTAAACAAATTTTTAATGAAATTTGAGTAGAGAAACCTGTGTTTATTGCTCGTTCGACTTTCCCACATTACGTATATATACGTACGTATTTTATGTATGTATGTACATAGTACGTATTGTGTATATATGTAAACCAAATAATTAGATGGGGGGATGAGAAAGCTTATTTTTGATTTTACAAAAATAATTTCTTTCTTGTTCTGATGCGCTTGTGCATTTTTTTTATTTGTTTTGATTTTTACGTCTTTTATAATTTTCTTTCTTGTCTTTCTTGTTGTTTTGATGTGCTTGCGCATAAGTAGTCGTATCTGGGGCCAGAACATAACTAAAAAAACACAGTTTACATATAGAATTGGTCAAGTTGTGAATGTTGTTATATTATATATCTATATGTCCGAACGTCTCTGCTCAAATTTTTGTTCTTAACAACTCAAATATTATTATTTTTTTTTTAATCCTATTAATTATAAACTGGTTGTATAAGGTTACAGGTAAGTGGTTTCTTTTTTTCCCTGAACGAAGCTTGCTACCTCTACGTGGTGTTCAGGAGAAACAGTTGTAGGTTAATTTACCATACATCTGGCCAAGAGCAAGCATTATTTTATTTTACATATTTTTAGATTTTTTTACGCTATTTTGTATTGAATATCACGTAAAAATGTTTATTCAAAGTCGTGTAGAACATAACGTGAAAATCGAAGGAGTTATAAATCATTTTAAAAGAAATGTTAAAATTCACTTTTAATTATTAACTAGCAGAAAAAAAAAACTATTTTCACTTTTAAATTAAATTTCAAAGTATGATGTTGTAACTTGTAACTCTCTTTTTTTTAAAAAAAATAAAAAATAGAATAATTATTAAATTTAAAAAGGTTTAAGAATATTTAGAATTTTCAATGAGGAAAAATTTTTTTTTTTTTGTTATTTGCAATATTATTTATTTTAAAAGTACTTACTCTATATTAGGATATTAAGTTTCTATATACTTTGTAGTTTTAAATTCCCTAATAATACACATTTTTTATATTTTTCAATCATTATTTTCATTTATTCTTCTAAATTCTCATAGCAATTACTAATAACTATTGAAAGTGATTTACGATCTTTCCAATTTGTAAAAATTCTTCTAATTCTTCACAAGTTTTTTCAAATGTTAAAAAACTTTCAAGACAACCCCGATTCATATTTAATTAATAAAAATTTTTTTTATGCATATTTTGTTGAAAACCTTAAAGAAGGTTTTAATATTAAAACATTCAATAATATATTCAAATCTGAATATTTCTAAATCTTGACAATTATTTAGTATTTAATTTAAAAGTTTCAAATTCATTCACCTCAAAGACTATGGTAATATGATCACGTGTTAGTGCATTAAAGTAGGATCGACACGTATTTATGTGTGTGTACGTGACGTTCCTGATAAGATTTTAAGGTTTGGATAAAATTTAGCTATTACCGAATTTAATGAATTATCAGGATTTTTAGATATATTCAATTCTATTAACTGTTAAGTTTTTTCCATTAATTACTAAAATCTAATTTTGGGAATGAAACTAAAAATTTCAAATTGAAAATTTTGAAAAATGAATGTATTGTAACTGATCAAAATCATAAAATGAATTAGCTTTTAAAAAAATTTCAAGTACTTGTTGAATTTATAAACTTAGTTATAAATGATAAAGGTATATAACATTCATCCAACATTAATTCTGTTAATGATAAAGAAAATTTAATTATTAATGAGGGGAATATGACTTTTACAATATCACGATTTTCGTAACAATGAAGATTCATATTTTATCTAAATTGATTATATTTTTAAAATTAACGCGACATAATGTGGTAGTATTTTTAAAGTGT